TTAAGTATATTCATTCTAATAATAATAATAAGTATAATAATAAGAAAATTCGAGATTAACTAGTCTCTTAAGATATATAATAAGAGTTAATTATATTCGATTTATCTAAATAGAATAGTATTAATAAGTATATTAATAATATTTTTATTTAGAAGGTATATATCTAGTTAATAACTATAGATTTATTATTAAATCTATAAACTAAGATAATTAGAATAGCTATTCTAAATATAAACTACTTATCTATAACTTTATTAAGAAAGATAATTATAATATTATATAAGGCTTTTATTAAAAAGAAGTTAAATATAGCTTATCTAAGACTATTTAAAATAACGATTTACGTTTATAATTATAAGTATAAATAAAAGAGAAAAATAGCTAAATAAGAGTTTAAATATATCTTATTTAACTATAAGAGATTTAATTAATATCGACTATAGAATAAATATAAATCTTATCTAGTACGATAATATAATATCTTATAAAGATCTCTTTAGACTTCTATCTCGCTTTTTAGTAATACTAAGAATAAGCTAAGTAAGATATTAAAGGATAAGGATATTATAAATACTATTATCGTTGCTAGAAGAATTTTACTATTCTTAAAAGTTTCTTCTTTACTAATTATAAATAGTAAGATAATAATAAATACGCTTAGAGAAGACTCTAGGGTTACAGTCTAAAATCCGTCTATAGATCTAGAAAATCTCGAGATTAACTATATTTCGAATTTATCTAAATTAAATAACTAGAAAAGTATTATTTTTAATATATTAAATTTATCTATATCTAATCTATTAAGACGCTTATAGCGAATTAAGAATAAATTAAAGAATTATTATATTATTTAAGACGATAAATAGATTAACTTCGATATTTTAAAAAAGAAATTTATTAAGTTAATATAAGCTATATCGCTTATATCTAATATTAAATCTTATATTTATAAAAAAGCGATTAATAAATTTAAAGTATTTTAATAAATAATCGCTATATAGAAGTAATAGAACTTATTATAGAAGATAAAGATATAAAAGCTAATATCAAGACTAGTATATTAAACTATTCTTAAAAAAAGATAGATTTATAAGAAGAAGCTAAAAATATATAATGAAATTCTACGCTATAAGACTAGATATATTATTAAGAGTTTTCTTTAATAAGAAGATATTAACTATAACGAAATCTTTTTAGATATTATTAAGTTAATTATATAAAAGATTCTCTTAGTCTTAGTTATATACTACAATTAAGAAGTAAATCTAATTAATATTATAATAGTATTTCTATATATAAAACTTAAATATAAGATTTATATAAAATAGCTAGAAGACTTTATTAAATTAGATCGAGATCGAGTCTATTTATTATTTAAGAGTATTATATAAATTAAAATAATCTAGTTATAAGTAATATAAGACGCTAGTAGAGTTTCTATTTAAAATTAAATTTATACACTTATAATTTAACTTATATCTATTTCTCTATTAATTAAATAAAGAGATTATTTTCTAATCGTTTATATCGATAATATTAAAATCGTTATTAATTAATTAATAATTAATTAAGCTAAGAGACTTCTATATTAACAATTTAATACTATAAATCTCGATCTATATATATACTATCTAGATATAAAGATTAAGAGAAATTATTTAATAAGAATACTTAAAATAAGTTAATTTATATTTATTAATAAGATTCTTATAATTTATAATATAAGAGAGTATTATATTTCGCTTATTCTAATAAAATTAAATATAAATAATTATTTTATTTTTATATCTAATATATATATAACTGATTTAAGAGACGTTATTATATTTAAGAGTAACTTAGAAGAAATTAATTATTTAACTACTTAGATATAATTAAATATAGCGTTTACTATTAGTAAACTAACTATATTCTCTTTTAATTTAAACTATTAATACTAGTAAATATATAAAAAGATATTATAATATTTAGCTGAGATCTAAAATATATAAAGTAGCTTTCGAGATTATAAAAATAATAATACTATAACTATTTAACTATTTAGATATTAATTAAATTAATAAGATATCTATAGTATAATTAATAGTTAGAATAATTATAATATTAAATAATAGATCTATTAATTAAAGATCTACTAAGTAGAAGATTATAATATAATTTATATATAAAATCGAATATATAACTACTTCTAATATTACTTAGAATATAATATAAATATAATATATTCTATTAGAGCTAGAATAATAGCTAGACGAATTATCTATAATATAATATAATAATAAAAGAGTTATAGATCTAATAAAGAACTCTATAAATTATAAAAGATTATATTATATTAATATTATTTATTATTTTATACGCGAATTAATAGCTAATTAAACGCTAAGATATAAATATATATTTATAAAGAATATAAAGGCTAACGATTTTATTAAAGTATTAATTACTATTAAATTTAGTAACTTTATTAAGATAATAAGATTAGTAAATAAAGATCTAGATTAATAAGCTAGAATAATATATAATTTTAATCTTAAAATAGAGATATTTAAATATTACTAGATAGAGAGAGTATTAGCGTATCTAATTTCTTTATATTCTATATATATATCCCTTCTATATTCTTTTATATATATTTTATTATTATTTCTTTTATATAGCTAGTTATAGATAGTAGTACTTTATTCTTTATTAGCTATATAATAACTAATAGCCCTATTACTAAATCTATACGCTTTCTATTATTATTACTACTATGCTACGCTAAGAAAAAGAATATTAAATTTAAGTATTATTAAATAAATATAATAAGTAAAATAATAAAGTATATTCGTATTTATCTTAATTACTTAAAAATATAAATTTTTTATTATAAGTTATATAGTAAGTTAATATCGATCTTATTAAATAAAATAAATTTATTTTATTTTATAATATTAAATTTTATTATAGATTTATTATTTATAAGAAATTTATATTTTAATAATATTTTAAATAATATTTTAATTTTAATAGATAAATTAATTAAATATATAAAATATATAATAATTATAAAGAATTTAAAAACTAATAATCTTATTAATATCTTATAATAAAAGTTTATATTATTATATAATATAATATAAAACTTAATTTTAAATTAAAATTTATTATTAATAGATAGATTTTAAATAATACTATATTAATATTTAAATATAAAATATATATTTAATATTTTATTTTATTTTTAAATTAATAATTAAATTAAGAGATAAAATTAAATTCTTAGATATTAATATATATAAAAGAATAAGATAGAGCTAAATTAGAAAATCTTAAATTTATATATATAGTTAATTATAAATTTATTAAATCTACGCTTTTTAGTTAAATATCGCGAATAAATAAATTAGCATTTATAACTATTAAAAAAATAGATATATATTATTAATATATAGAATAACTTTTTTATTTTCTATTAACTTTTTAAGATTTTTTTTTAAATTATAGAATAAAATATAGACTTTTAAATAAAAAAAGAATTTTTAAATTTAGTCTTATAATTATTAAAGCGTAAGAAATTTAAATATCGCTTATTAAAGTTCGCTTATTAAATTTGCCGACAGTTCTAATAAAAAAATAGATATATATTATTTAATTTTAGAATAACTTTTTTATTTTCTATTTAAATTTTAAGATTTTTTTTTTAAATTATAGTCTATAGCTTACGCTTTTTAAAAATAAAAAAAATTCGAAATTTGATCTTATAATTTTTCAAAGGCAAAGAATTTAAAATCGCTTACTAAAAATCGCTTACTAAATTTACTCGACAGTTCTAATTAAATAAAATAATTATAAATTTAATTTATAGGCCTTTACTCGTTATTTATAATTATATTATAATTATAAATAAAATAATTAATTTTAAATTTTATTAATAGCTATATTTATATATAATAATAATATATATATAAATATTAATAAAATTTTATAAGAGTTATTAATAGAATATATAATAAATATTTAATAATAACGACTTTTATAATTTTTAAAAAGATATTATATATAATAAAAGTAAAATAAAAATATAAAAAATTAATATTTTATTTTTTATTAATAAAAATATATTTAATTAAAAATTTTAAAATTTTTATAAAAATATTTTTTAAAAAAAAAAAATTTATAAATTATATTTTTTTTTTATTTAAAAAAAATAAAAAATAAATAAAAAAAAAAATTTTTTTTATTAAATTTTTAAAAAATTTAAAAAAAATTTTAAAATAATTTTTTTAATTAATAATAAAAAAAAAATATAAAAAAAAAATTTTTATATTTTTTTAAATTTTTTAAAATTTTTTTTTTTATTTAAATAATTAAAAAAAAAAATTATTTAATTAAAAAATTAAAAATAAAAAAATTAAAATTTAATTTTTAATTAAAAAATATTATTTTTTTATAATAATAATTTTTTTATTAAAAAAAAAAAAAAAAAAAATAAAATTTTTAAAAAAAAAAAATTTAAAATAAAAAAAAAAAAAAAAAATTTTTTTTTATAAAAAAATTTTTTATTTTATAAAAAAATAAAAAAAAAAAAAAAAAAAAAAAAAAAAGAAAAATATTTTTTCGTAAGGCTATAAGAAATCTTGATAAATCTTTAAAGAATAAGATAGTATAATATCAGGACTCTACTGACATCGGAATTGTATCCGAGAACCGCATTCTCGACAGTCTCACAACGTAAGCCGAGACCAACTCTACTACAACTACCGTCCTTCTGCTTTACCGAGATCTTGTGATGAACCTAAAACTCTCAATGTCGGTCTGAAAGACAATGTCAATGGCGTCAACTACACGTAGTTTCCTGCCGTGGAGATGTCTTTTCAACGTCATCTGACGCAGCTTCGGCTTGGTTGTTGGGTCATGCTAGCCTACTATATAATCCTCGTCTTCTCTTCAGCAGTATGTCAGTCTGAATGAGATCCACCTTCAGCCCCTGAATACATCTTCGGAAAACGAGCGCCATGCTACTTACATTAAGTGTCCTCTCCTTCTTCTTCGGCTTCGTGGTTGCAGCGGTCGTGACTTCGAGGCCGAAACATGCTCGTTCTACTTTGGATGATTCATTGAGCAAGCTTCGTCATGTCACGGACGCATTCAGACCACGCGCGACTTGCAACCACGATTCGCCAATCAGCGTTGAGAAAGGTCTGATACAGACTGACGATGCGGATCTCCTGACGAAGTAAAACAATGTTTCATCACCTAGCCTCAAGCACGCTGCTAAAATGATCATAGAGCTCAGTGCGAAGAGCTTCCAGGCGATAGCTGGCGGCGTCAAGCATACGAGGAGATAAAATCGATCCTCGTTGCACGAAAGCCAGGAGCCAAGAAATTTCCCTGCATCTACGCCACGACCGGCTACAGACACAACGAGCACCGTTACATCTTCATGCACTCGGAAGACCCAACCGAGCCGCGCAACCTCCGCCTCCTCGCCAACGCAATGCGGGCCTACCTCCCACAATCCCACTCGCTAGGGCCAAATACCAGTCTTGTCATCATTCACCCCAGATCCAGCACACAAAACTCGGTAGAGTCCTACCAACAAAGATTCTGGGATCTACTTCGAGGTTTGCGGACATGCGATCTACAGCCGTGGCCCTCAGACATCCCTTCAGAAACGCATGCCCCCAAATGGGCCTTCTGCTTCAACGGAGTGCCCTGGTTCCCCGCCGCAATGACACCCGCGCACGAGCAGCGGCGGTCTCGTCACGCGCCCTACTTCACAGTTGCCATGCAGCCGAAATGGGTCTTTGACAATCTTTTCAGAACACCGGAGAAACGACGAGCCGCAGTAGGCGCAGTCAGGAAGCTGATGCCTGCTTACGATGAGATTGAACCAAGTCCGGATTTGTCCGCGTATGGGACTGAGGGCACGACCGAGGCGCATCAGTATTATTTACTGGACGAGAACAAGACGAGTTGTTGTCCGTATGAGGACCTCGACAGGTGAATGCAAGCCTAACTGAGCGGTGCGAAGATACTCGTGAAGATTCACAAAAGTCAGTAGTGATGATCCCGATTATTCGATACTTCGGATTAAATAGTGTACCGGTGTGTATGGCAGTGGTAATGGAAGTATACAGCACAAGATTGTGAGATGGAAATTATATAAGATTACGTGCCAGATGCTGCTATCTATTACGACTTACTCTTCTATAGTTTCCGTGACTATGCACCACAGTACTCGGTCAACCCTTTGTTCATGCCCTTTTGTTTAAATTATGCCCCAAAAGATAAGCAAATCTCTGGACTCGCTTACCAAATCCAGTGCCTGACCCCAGGATAGGAAGATGTCGAATACAAAACCCACCGAACAGTAGAAGAAAAATGACTGTGAGGACAGATTCCGTCCTCGCAGAAAGCACAAACTCAACCGAATAAGCACCTACAACCCAAGTCCCCACAAACCCTCCGCGCCTCGCCAAAGCACATCCCTCCCCAAACACCCCCACACTCAATTATCCCACCCCCGGCGCCGCACAATCCGCAGCGCTGCCGCCACTAGCCCGCTGCAAGAAGCATGAAGACCACATCTGGACATCTTCACACGAATGAACCTTCGTCGCCGTTGTTGCTGGAGTCGCGCGCTTCTTCTTTTCAATCTGGGCTCCGGTGGTGATTTAGCCAGTTCATGTTGAGGGTGAACCGACATGAGGGGAGAGACCGGTTCTGGGGTCGTTGCAGTTGACGATGGTGGCGCGTTTGCGGAGGAGAGAGGAGGGGGATGCTGAGGAGGGAGAGGGTAGGGAGTGGGGGAGTGCATGATTGGTACTCTACGAGTTGGCGAGGGTGGGGGTTGGAGTTTTGGATGCAATGGGTGAGGTGCTGAGGAAATGGTGTGATGGAAGGAACGTGTGGTTATGGTACGATTTTTGGGTGAAGATATGAGCGGGTGAAAATGAGTTTCCACGAGGTGACAAGCTCGTCTAATACCACTCGTAGTATTGCTCTGGCTTCAATGTTTCCAGTACCCTGTGCTATTCTTGGAAATGCGATGACGACGGTAGGTAGGGGGATGAGCCGCGGAAATCCTGCGTGCAGAATTGAGCCACATCAGGTGATGGAGCAAGTGCTGGTTAGAGCACGTGCCCAGCAGTTGCGACTATCTCGGGAACCCCAAACAAAGCAAAACATTCTCAATATGGCACTAGCAGACACTGATCAGGATTTGATCGTATACGTAGCCTCGCCGCGTTTGGAGCAACCGGTCTGTCGCATGCTTAGGTGTGGTTGACGAGCTACTCTAACATTTGATTTGATGTGAGTTGTTGCATGGTTCGGCTATCTCGATTCTCACGTCCATTCTGTTCCGTTTCTTAGTCATCTTTAGATTCGACATCTTTCTACCATAGGCCGATAAGCACATGTTAAACATACTATGAGGGCCTCAAGGATGATGTTATCAAGCTACTGCCGTTGAATCCTGTTCTTCCACGAATAGCGGCAGCTCCAAGCTTAGAATAAGGATGTCAGAGCTCAAACCTTGTAAGCCCGATCTCTGTATCTGCGTTTTGGAGTCCACGTTTGTCACACGCCACTCTGCATCGCCCCATAAGACAGTACTGATGCTTGTTGCAACAATTTCAGCAGGAAGATGTAGAGTGACAGGCCCTGTCATGTCCTGGTAGTCCGAATTGACGATGCTCAGAAGGATGGAGTTCCCAACCCTCCATGCGCTTGCATCGACCGCGCTGGTCCCATCGACAGCCAGGCCCGTTATGATATCAGCTCCAAGCAAGTATTCAGCGCAAGTGCCTGTCAGCACCTTCGCCAGCCTACTCGTAACATCGGTCAAGTCTGGCGTCGTCGGAAACGTCCACATAATGATACCCTTAGCGCCATGGTTGACACTCAACAGAGTCATAGCGAGTTCCTCTTCCGGTGTCGGCGTTTGCTTCCAAAACTCTGAATTGCCAAAAGCCTGCGGTGTACCCCAGAGGACCTTTGGCGGGAGGCCAAGCTGCATTTGGTATTCGCGATAGATGTCTAGGCGGGCAGGGACGTTGGATAGGTTGTTGTAGCCTTGGCAATTGTCGCAGCCGCAGCAGCCGTAGGTGGAGTTGCAGACGGTGCTGCAAACGAAAACGTTCAGCATCCCGAATGTTGTGGAGAGAGGATAGAGAGAGCTTACCCGTATTGGGTGGACCATGACGTGTTTGTGCCAATGGGATAAACATCAGAGAGGATGATGTCAGCGCCTGTAGAGTATTCTTGATAATGATAGTTCTCGCAGTTTAGGCAAAGTGAAACGGGATGATATGGGTCAAGGGATTTGATCTGATCATATGCTCGCTTGGGTGCATTCAACGCATCCACTTGCCCATCTGGAACACGTGTTGTCAGCTCGCAGCCAGAGCACTGAAGCATCCAGGGAGCGTACCTGGCTCGTCTGCGGTATACCAAAGGAGCATATTCGGTCTTCTCTTCAATTGATTGACCTGCCAGTCTACACCTGATGCGTTCTGGTACTGCCACCTCATGTCGAACATAATCCATAAGCCAAGCTGTTGCGCTTGATCGAGCCATTCATCCAGCTGCTCGAAATCGTAACCAAGACCGCCTGCAGGGACAATGTGAAGTACATTGTAGCCATAGTTCTTCAGGACGTTCATATTCTTTGGATCTTCGCCGAGCCAATTTCCGTCAAGATAGAAAGAGTACGGAAACAGCGGGGTCCATGCGCCAGAACTACTATTAGATATAGTGGTAGCCTTTACAAGTAATCCACCGTGAAGGCTGTCAATCTTGGTAACACTTCCGCCATCAGAACGACTTGGCAGTCGCAAAAGTTGCGTTGACGCCATGTAGATATGGTTATTCGGGTCCATAGCCACGACTGAAAGATTGTATGGCTCAAATCTAGGTTCAAATTCGCTCAGATCGAAGTCAAACAAAGTGCCCGTCGAGTTCAATTTGACTGTGGCATAAGAGATAGGTCGAATCGCATCATCTGATCTGTTGACATAGAACGATATTGTGTTGTATTCGGAAACATTAGATAAGAGCTTCAAAGCTCTGTCATTCTGTTGGCCAAAGAGTGTGTTATCGTAGGGCTGTCCATAGAAGTACGAAAGCTGTATTTGATGCATCATGTTAGTTTCAAGATTCTTCTGTATGAGTTAGGTCTTCTTACAGGAGCATCAACGATGAAAGTCCCAACAATGTCCTCTTCGAGATAAGGCTGCGCACGCGGACGGATTTTCAGGTTGAGCAATGGGGCAGGCGATCTGGGTGGTGCAACGATTCGTCCTCCAGGGTCAACGGCGGGGTCACTAGAGCATGCAAAGCTTAGCCAGCGACTCCAAGTGGTCATGATGCACAATAGAAAGATTCACACCTGGATCTGTATGCTTTCCCGCACCAGGTATCCACAGCCAGGGTGAAGCGGCCGAGGTGCAAAGACAAGAAGGCCAACGGTAGCTGTACGCCGAGTCTCATGGTGCACTTCTTATGATTGCCCCAGCGATAAGCGTGGTAACGTGAAGGGAGGCTCTACTATCAAGAGGTCGAAGTACTAGCAAGAGGGCACTGGTGGGCATCTTTGAAACCCCATTGATTCGTCGCGCATACGACAAAGCGGGAATAGGTGACAGCCGACACATTTGCAGCTTCTACTGATTGATCTCGCATAGAAAAGGACCTCGGAAGTACGGTGAGCTCTGTTTTGCTGCTATTCGGTTTGGTCGCCGCGAATGGAGATCAATGCATACTTTAGGATGGCGCTGAGGGGCTTAGCTTGGCTAAGCACTAGACTAGTGCGTCTTGCTATCTTCCACACGCACACACGCAAACTCCTCAACAGCGCTAGTAGCAGCCCTAACCCTACCTCACTCTTCTGAAGGAGTAGCAGAGGACCCCTCGAGACCCTACAACTGTTTGTGGGAGCGCATCTATTGAATTTCAAAGACATCTATTAATCGTTTTGGTACAATCAACCCCAACACGAGCTCAATTGGACGCAGTTCCCATTGGAATTGAAGAGAGATTATGGATTTAGTAGCTATCTAAGTGTGATGTAGGCCTTAAATACTATGCAAAACCACGCTAGTGCCATATTGTCATTGCCACCGTGAGGGGTAGCTACAACACACTATGGTGCTGCAGCATGATTTCCAACAGTTCCGAAGCGAACCCACCAGCCCCCCTCTCGAAGACAAAGGAGCTGTACCCACTTACGTTCTTATAAATGAGAATGGTAAAGTCATTGAACAGTCGCTGCCCTGTCCCGTCCATCTCAAATATCTTTGACTATCGTCTTAAAAGAGCACGCAAAGAAATGCACGAGGGATAGTGGCGGATTTGTTTATTTCAGTCAGATCTCCAATCGATGTTGTATCGCGAAAGAAAGCTGATTCGTTAAGAACCACTCCCAATGCATTCCTCGAGGCCGGAGCATCAGCTCGAGTCCCAGAGCATCCTTGCCTTTGGAAAGCACAACGCGTCCCCCACTCTCTCGCTCGCCGGCAATGATCCAACGCGGCTACCCGAGCTGCCCATCTGGATGCATCGATAAGACAGTCTCTGAGGATGCAGTAACTCATGCGGCCAACGGGATATCCTCTTGCTCCGGACTGACCAAGCCTCATCCTAGTGGCGCCGTCAACCAAGCCAATTCGCTATGAGTCTCCCAGATAGCTTACCTTCTCCCCTCGCACGAAGACTACAAGAAGTCTTGTGACCGGATGACGCTTTCCATGTTCATCGGGACTCGCGGACACAGTACCCATCACTCAAAGAGAAACCTGGTGTCCTTTATGTAGTAGTGACAATGCCTGCCGCGTGTAGAGTCCTCACTAGCTTGTTTCGGAAATCACGATCGCACACAGACATATTCTTCGCCCTTTCTGGAGAATAGATTCACGTTGCAGCGGTTGGTTCACCTGCCGGCAATGGCAGTACTTGATGAGAACCCACTGCATCCTCATCAGCGGAGACTGCAACTCCAGCGTCGTAATGCTCCACGATTGCCATCTCCGTCTTCGAACCTCCCGAGTCCAGTGTTCCAGCCTTAGAGCTTCCCGCCTGGGCCGTCTCTGCCCTCAACTGGTCTTTAGCGGCTGCATCTTTACTCTTTGCCTGTTGGAGAGTATCGGCCAAAAACTCTGTATGACTTCGCATGCCTTCAATATCCCCCGCGGAGTTCCAAACCATGTTCTGCAATTTTTCGGACGCTTTCACCACAGGTCGCATCAATTCCGCATCACCCGACATCGACGAAATAGTATGGTTCGCACTGTCGAGTATGTTTTTCGCTTGGCCATAGATATCCCAGTATGCTTTCACGTCTCTCAAGTATGTTGTATTCACCAATGGGACGGTCCACTGATCCGCCATATTCTCCACCTTGTCCAACCACGGCCCCATGAACTTCCTCTTATCCTTCATCAACCCCGCAAAATGGATCAACATGTCCCCCGGGTGGACTTTGGGTCTATCCTTCACCATGTTCTCTTGCAATTGAAATTCGTTATACCAATGCAGGGGTTGGAAGACCACGGCGTCACGGAACTGGGGTCTGGAGAAGGATTCGAGCATAGCGCTTTGATCCGCCCACTTTATGGGGATCTCTGGTCGCAAGGATGGTAGAGCTTGGGCATCCGCAAGCATCTTGACGGACCACTCGTGCACGCGGAGGAAGAAGACGCCGGAATTGAAACCATCCCAGTTTTTGGAGGCGATGAGATGGATGTTGGGAAATTTGGTCGGTGGGAAGAAGGTCGTCCACGGCACCTTTGGGTTCAAGATGATGGTGTCGGCGTCGAACCAGCTGTTGAAATGAGTATCAGCATTCTGTCATAGCTCCTCTAGCAAAGATCTACTACAAGTGGTCGAAAATAAGGTTACTGACACGATCCAACCCGCTCGCTGCCCATAAGGCCTGGCCATCTCATTCAGCAGCAGCATTTGTAGATATGAGAGCTTATTATACTGCGAGTTTCCATCGAACATGGAATGCCTGAGAACATGCGTCGGCGATCCCCAAGCCTCGCCATGCTTGATGTGCGATTTTATTGCACGCTCAAAAACCGGATCATATTCATCGTGCAAATTGGTAGTCGCCTGCCGCACTCGCGGACCGCCCTCATTTGGACCAACCAGCTCATCATGTGTGTCTGAAGAATCGAAGTCGCTTCGGGTATAAACGGACAGACCCTGGAAATGGTGGACGAGAAAGAAGAAAACGATGAGAACGAAGACGCCGACAGAGCCAAGAATGGCTCTTGAAGAGCGAGGATTATAGATTTGCATGTTGGACATTAAACCACAGAGCCATGCCACTCGAACAAAAGAAAGCAGGGAGAAGGCGAGCTTTAGGAAGAGACCGTGACATCCTTTACCCTATCGGTATCTACTACCATAGTCTTTTTAATTTTGCAAAGCCACGAATAAGCCAACACGAGTGAGGTCAAAGAGGTCAGCAAGTTAGCATGGAATTCTGAAGAAATGGCGTGGAACGGCGTTTTAGCTAAGTTGGTGTTTCCCACGCCGCACGCTGGAGCTGAAGACTATTGGGGTGAAGCTCAAGATGATGATGCTGACGGCGTTTGATGGAAGTTTGTTTCAGGTTGGTGGCTGACCTCTAGTGGTTTCTAAACCCCCTGTCCTCTTGGCAAGGCATGCCGAACCTCATTTTACCCCGCCTAGAGTAGGTACTTTACTCTTGTATTCCTTTTTCCTCTCAGCAAGCACGATTTCTGAAGACCGGCCTGTAATCAGGTACTGTCTTCTGTTGCAGACCTGGCTAGCGAACTGGGCGCAATGAAGACTGCATCCTTGGAGAAAGAACACATGGGGAAGATAAGAGTCTATGAATTTGGTTGCAAACAATTCAAGGGAACAGCCTGCAAATGATTTGTATGAGCGCACACTCTTCTATTGTACGCGACTAAGCTAGCAAATCATCTGAGCATGTGACAGGTAAAGAATGGACCGGAGGTGACGAAACGATTGACACGTGAATCCAACCGAAGGAAACAGACGCCATGCTGGCTTCTGAGAGGAAGATACTGCCAGCCTAATACATGTTTCGCAGAGGATCCAGATCGTGACTTTGAATGCGCGGCTTGAAGACCCTCCCCCCTTCTCCTCACTTGCGTGCAACCAAGGCAACAGACGCAGTTCGACGGTATCGAGTATGGGCGTAGAGAATAGTAGCATTCGACGTGCGATCGACGTGCGAACGACAAGATATCGCACCACTCAGTTGAAGCATCCCAACGGGGAAAGCGACCTAGAGCGCTGCTCTCCCCCTCCCACTTGACACCAAAGCTTCTCACCTGAAGATGACCCCTGCTCCATCCTCCCTACCAACCTGGTGACATGATGCCCTAGGACCACGTCTAGACAAAGGTAAACCATCATTCCACCTCAAGCCAACCGGATTTCCGTTGCGTTTTACACAGGCCGGGAAGTGGGATTTGACGTGATCCCTTTTGGCAAAGCCGCCTTTGCAGAGCGGACAGGTTAGATCTAGAGGAGTGTCGGCGCTAGCGTAGTTTGTGACGTTCTTGGGCAATTCCCCTTGACCTACTCTAGAAGGTATGACAATTCCATTGACTGCATCGAGCCTGTCGTACCTGGCTTTGGCACGTGTGGATAGTTTGGATGGCCGAGTGGATGAAGAGTGTGATAATTGGGATGCTGAGGCATTGGGTTGGCTGTCTGGCAGGGCGGCTCGAGAATCTATTGGCTTTTTCTTGGACTCGCGACGCAACCCTGCCATTCTCCCTGATCGATTGCCTTGTGGTGCTGGTGAATCAGACAAGGACGGTGATGCGTAATGTTCGTTTGGGCTGTCGGAGAAGATTGGTGGAGCTTGTTGGATTGGTGGTATAGGGTAAGCTGCGGCGCTGCTGGTGGATTGAAAGGCGTAGGGGTGGTGTTGGATTGGTGGTATATGGTAAGCTGCGGCGCTGCTGGTGGATTGAAAGGCGTAGGGGTGGTGTTGGGTTTGTGGTGACGGGTAAGCGGCGGCGCTGCTAGTGGATTGGAATGGGTACGGGTAGTATTGGGTTTGTGGTAACGGGTAAAGAGATATACTGCTGCTCGACTGGTGAGGCTGCTGAGGGTATATCTGTCCATAGTATTGGGACGCTTGCTGATGATGGCTTTGATCTGTCAGGGTCGAGAGCGACAAATGGAATGAGTGTTGAGGGTAAGCAACTGCATTATCGGCGAACAGGGACTGTCGCTGGCTGTACTTGTATCCATCGTTAGGGGATGGTTGCTGACGGCCGCGTCCCTCACAAGCGGACTGTTGCGGAAAGCTACTTTGGTACGGAAGGTAAAGAGCTGGATCTGCGCTCACGTGGGGGCTCGCCTTATAAGCATGCGCATCAGTCGAAGGTGTATACTGAGGGTTGAAGTCCATGCTGTATGGCGAGATTGACGGCAAGGGATCATAGTGCTCGTGCTCGTGCTCGTGCTGGCCCCAAGGTATCATGGGTGCCAGCTGGTCTGGATGCCTCCTGCCCAAACGAGGGTTGAAAGCATGTTCCCCTATCTGAGACCGTTCTTCTGGCTGTCTACTTGACATTTCAACTGTGGTGTGGGTCACGCAGTGGATGGAAGACGTAGTTGATTGATACGATGCCGATCACAGTGTCAAGTGTTGTTCATCACTTCGATTGTCTCATGCGGCATAGCGTGTTTTTGCCACTCAGTGTGCACCCAAAGTGACAACGCTGCAAGCCAAGGTACAAACCTGATACTCATCATGCTTCTACATGGTTGGCCCCCCCAACCCCCATTCCCCACCATTCACTGCCACAATGAACTTCACGAGTTCCTCTTCAGCACATCAATGATCCAATCCTTCCCTTCCACACCGTCAGGCAAATGATAGGCGAAAGCGATTGGAAAGCAATACATCTGCTTCTCCCACTCCAACCATTCTCCACATATTCCAGCGGGGTGAGTATGTCATAGCCGCCAGTCAAACCATGTACCTTCACGCGTCTTTCGTTGAGGATTGTCGGATCTGCAAGTACAGGGGAAAGCCTTGGATCTGAGAGATCCCAGGAGTCTGTCCAAGACTTTGCTGTCTTAGTCTCAATAGGTAGACGTAATACAGGATCGTATCTCTCTACGTCTCGGATCTTCGAATTGGTGAAGCCGAGATCCACGACCGGAGCGATGAGCATCAAATTCGCCGGGCTAAAAAGAAGGCCATATAGAAAAACGTATATAAAGTAGATATATAGATATAAATAGGCATATCAAACTAAGACAGAAGAGCTTTAGACATCAGATAAGCAAATAACTCGAAAAAGGCCAGCAGAAAAACCTATACTAAGCGATAAACTAGAAAAAAGAAGCTATATATAAAAAAAAGAAAAAAAAAAGCCAAAAGAGAAAATTTAAATAAAGAGTTTATTACTAATAAGACTATAAAATAAACGCACATTTACCACCCCACTATCGCATACGCATATATATATATATTAAAATAAAGAAAGCTAATTAAAAGCTATTAACGCTATAGTCTAAAAGACTACTAACTTATAATCTTATTATTACGATTAATCGAAAAGAAGACTATATAAAAATAAGTATATATAAATAGATATATAATATATAATTAGGCATATTTAAACTAGAGTAATTAAGAGCTTTTAAATATCAGATTAAGAGATAACTCAAAAAACTCAGCCTAGAAAAACTTCAAACAAGACGTCGTAAAAAAAAGACTTAAAAGAACTTAATAATATTATTATAGTAAATAAAAGACAAAATACTAGCGCGAATAGACAAAAGAACAATATTATAAAACAAGTTATAATTTCTATAGAAGAACTAGTTAAAAAAACAATATAAAAACGCGAACTATAAAGATTATTAAAACAACAGAAAAAGCGTATATAAATAAAAAAAAGTCTAAAAAAAAGTAATAAAAACGATAAAAAAACGTAAATATTAAAAAAAATCTAAGAGAAAGCGTATTAATATAAATAAAACTAAAAGAAAGCGTTATAATATTATAAAAATAATTTAGAAAAAAATAATAAGAAACGAAAAAAAAAATTATAATATAAGAAAAATCTAAAAGAAAGATTATTAATATATAAATAACGATCTAGAAGATAACGTTATATTAAGATAAGGCTAAAAAAAAGCGTTACAATATTAAATAAAACTTAAAAGAAAGCGTTATAATAAAAAAGCAGAAAAAACGAAAAAGAAAAAAAACATAAGTTAAGTCTCAAAAAGAACTATATAAAACAATATCAAATAAGACTTTTATCTAATATATAATAACTATAAACATAAAACTAATATAGAAAACTCATCAATATATAATAAATAAATATTAATAACTAAATAAAAACTATCTAATATATTAATACAGTATTAAATAAAACTAAATAATATAAATAAGACTTTTACTAATAAAGACTTAACGCGAATATTACGTCTAATATAATAGTTTAAATAACTAAAAACAGAATATTCAATAACTAAATAGTTTAAAAAAACTAAATAGTTAAATAAAAATTCATAAGCGAAGCTAAAACTAGAAAAAAAATATTCTAACTACGATAATCTAAATAAAAAAATAAGAATTTAAACACGAAGCTAATTAGTAAAAAGTTAAGATATCCTATAGCTACGATAGCTAAGATATTTCTATAACTATAATAATCTAAATAATTAAAATACTAAAATATTTCTATACTATAATAGCGTAAATAGCTAAAATAATTAAGATATCTCTATAGCTGCGATAGTCTAAATAGTTGAAATAGTTAAAATATCCTTATAACTACGATAGTCTAAATAGCTGAAATAATTAAGATATCTCTATAGCTGCGATAGCCTCGATACTAAAATAATTAAGATATCTCTATAGTTACGATAGTCTAAATAGCTAAAATACTAAGATATCTTATACTATGATAGTCTAAATAGCTAAGATAGTTAAAATATCTCTATAACTATAATAGTCTTAAAGCTAAAATAACTAAGATATCTTTATCTGCAAATCTAAAAAGTTTCTAAAAATTTAAATTGCTAAGCGCGTATATCGAAATTATAAAACTATTAGATTAAAAACTAATTAAATTATAAATTCGTTAATTAATAACTATCTTAATCTTTTCTATTAATTCTACTAGTTAATAGTAATATATATAAAAAAGAAAAGTTCTAATAATAATTACGATAAAAGATTTTATAATAATAAGTATTAACGTTAACTTAAATTAACTATAAAATTAAATAATTTAAAAAATAGTCGCGTAGATAAACTTTAATATAACGTATAATAATATATATATTAATAATAATATATATTAATATTATATATATATAGAATAGTACTTAGAGTATATTAAAGTATATTATATAAAAATTTTAAAGTTATTAAAAATTTTTAAAGTTATTAAACAAAAAACTAATAAAAAGAGTTTAAATATAATAAAGTCGCTAAATAGCTAAATGCTACGTGCGAACTCAGCGAAATGCAAATTAATTTTTAGATTTATAAATGTTTATAGCTACGATAGCTAAGATATCCTATAACTACGATAACTTAAATAATTAAAATAGTAAAATATCTTTATAATTATAATAATCTTAATAATTAAAGTAATAGAATATTTCAAAATTATAATAATTTAAGTAGCTAAAATAATTAAGATACCTATAGCTATAATAACTAAATAGTTAGAATAATTAAGATCTCTTATACTACGATAGCTAAATACTAGAATAGTTAAATCTCTTATAGCTAAGAGCTAATTAGCTAAAATACTAAGATATCTCTATAATCGATAGTCTAAATAGCTAAAATACTAAAATATCTAAGGCTACGATAGTCTAAATAGCTAGAATACTAAGATATCCTAAAGCTACAATAAAATAAAAAATAATTAAGAGTCTCTATAGCTAAAAGTTAAGATATCTTTATAATTATAATAGTTTAAATAGTTAAAATAATAAGATACTTATAACTACGATAGTCAAATAGCTAAAATAACTAAAATATCTCTATAGCTACGATAGTTTATATACTAAAATAATTAGAATATTCTATATCTATAATAGCTCGATTAACTAAAAAGTTAGAAACTTATATTATAATAGTCTAAATAGCTAAAATAACTAAGATATCTTAAGATTACGATAGTCAAATAGCTAAAATAACTAAATATATAATTACGATAGCTGAATAGTTAAAATAATAGAATATCTCTATAATTGCGATAGTCTAAATACTAAAATAATAGAATATTTCTATAATTACGATAACTCGAATACTAAAATAGTTAGAATATCTTTAAACTATAATAGTAAATAGCTAAAATACTAAAATACTAAAATATCTATATACTATAATAGTCTATATAGTTAAAATAGTTATATGGCTATAATAGCTAAATAGCTGAAAATACTAAAATAGTTATATGACTATAATAGCTTAATACTTAAATACTAAAATAGCTATAATATTAAAAATATTTATATAACTAAATACTAAATACTAAAATAGTTATATAGCTATAATAACTAAATACTAAAATAATAATATAACTATAATACTAAATAATTAAAATAACTAAAAACTAAATAGCACGATATCTAAGATAGTCGACTTAATTAAAAAACATCCAAATCTAAAAATTAATTTCGTACGATCGTCGAGTCCGTACGATTAGTACGATTTAGTCTATTTAGTAGACTTTATTTATATCTAAATTCTTTCGTTAATCTATTAATTTAGTAATTTTAAAAATTTTTAATAACTTTAAAATTTTACGTAATATACTTTAATATACTCTAAGTATTATTCTATATATATATAATATTAATATATATTATTATTAATATACGTATTATTATACGCTATATTAGAGTATTATCTATATAACTAATTTTATTAAATTATTTAATTTTATAGTTAAATTTAAGTTAGCGTTAATACTTATCGTTATAGAATCTTATTATTATAACGTCGATTATTAAATTTTCTTTTTATATATATTATTATTAAACTAATAAAATTAACGAAAAAGATTAAGATAATTACTAAATTAACGAAATTTAGACGAATTCTAATTAGATTTACTAATTTAATAAATTTTATAATTTCTACGATAAACGCGCGATTAGCAATTTCAAATTTTGTAGAAACTTTTAGATTTATAGATAAACTATATATTATATAGCTATAATAGCTAACTATTCTTATAGTTATATAGCTTTAATAGTTAAAATAATTAAAATTTTAATATAGCTACGATAGCTAAAATAAATAATTATAAATAAAATAATTAAAGTATATATCTAAATAGTAATAATAAGTCGTATAGTCGTATAGCTATAAATAGCTAAAATAACTTTAATAATTAAAATAGCTTTAATAGCTAATAAGCTCTAATAACTAAATACTAAAATATCTATATAATTATAATAATCTTAAATACTAATATATTAAATAATTTCATATACTAGAAATATTAAGTAGTCTTATAGTTATATACTATAATAGAATTAAAATAAATTAAAATATTTATAAACTATAATAGTCTTAAATACTAGAATAGCTAAATAGCTTATACCGTATACTAAAATAATCGAAATATCCTTCAATAATAAAAAAAATAATATGACTCTAAAAAACAATTTAAAAAAGAACTACTAATTAGTACTATATAAATAATACTCCACGTTCATCTATCTCTCTACTATCGTATATCGCATATCGCATGTATACGCATAATAATGAAACGATTAATCAAACAGCCACCAACGCTATAGCCCATAATGGACCCACTAACCCACAGTCCCACTGTTGCGACTTTTGATGTCAGCACTGCTCTTCAAGGTCTCCAGCATCACAGCCAAGACGACATTTCTTCCAGAAGAATCACCGACGAAAGTGACCCTCTCATCTTTCTCACTGCTCAAGAGCGTTTTGGACAGCTTTACGAGACGGGGAAATATCAAAGGAGCAGGACTATGCGGCGCAAGCGGGGGACTAATCAGGCTGATGACCGCAGAGGGTATCTTCTCGCTCAATTCCGTCAGGAACTTCCAATGATCGGACGAAGGGGGCATGCAAAAACTACCACCAGCAATATAATATACTCGTCGTGTCCGATCTTGGTTATTGCGGTCGACCTCATGGCTTTTTGCGGTCAGGTCGTATATCCATACTTCATCTATTCGTCGTTCGGAGACATTACATTGAAGGGCTACTGATGCGGGTGGCTTCAATTGAGGAGAACCTGATGGTAAAGGTTTACCGGGCTTGGAGATCAGGAAGCCGAAGGGACGGATGAGGAGTTGGAGAAGCGCAGTTGGCAGTGAGCGATTATGGTACGTTGAGATTTTGGTGCTTCCGTTCATTGCATGGACATTACTATAGAGGATGAACGACCATGCGGGATTGAGGATGGTATTCCAATTTGACATAGCATTTTAGCGATTTCGAAATGGATAAGATTGCTTAGCAAAAAAAGCGCCCCCCTCCGGCTTTACCAAAACCAAAAATCCAAGAAAATTCAGGAAAAACCATATTTTTCTAATCTATATTCATGAATTTTTACTATTTATTAATCTTATTTATATTAAAGTTATACTAATTTATTAATTCTATTACTTTTTTTTTTCAGATTAATTTAAAGAGAATATTTTTGATAATCTTGATTTTGTATAGAAGAGTATATTCACTTCGTCACTTTACTTAATAAAGATAAAAATTCAATTTAAAAAAAATTGACAAAAAAAAACTAATAGAACTATTGTTAAAGGAACTAGATTTAATATAGAAAAGAAAAAACTTCTTGACAATTAATATTCATAATTTTAGATAAGAAAAACATAATTTCTTCTTGGATTTTTTGGATTTTTGGTGGCAAAGCCGGAGGGGGGGCGCGATTTTTTTTGCCAAGCAATCTTATCCATTTCGAAATCGCTAATTACTCTGAGATATTGCACAAAGTTGTGCATTCCGCGCTAGTCATGCGGGCATCGATTCTGGGAAAATCTGCCAAACAACTTTCATCAATAACTTTCCAACTTTAGCTTCTTGCATCTCTGTTCTACGTTTCTTCAAATCATTGTACACGGCCACGATGTCTAGAGTCGCGGCCTTATGCGTCGGTGATCACCCTGACCCCAATTTCAAGAGAGAAGGACCTTTCCGTTACTTCGACCTCCCCACTGAGGTCCGCGATCAGATCTTGAGGCTGCTGCTAGTTCGTGAAAATGTTGCACTGGGTAGGGAAAAGTCCATTCGGAATCGTTTTAGCGGTTGGAGTCACGAGAAACCGATGTGGCAACTACTCAGGGTGAACGGTCAACTGCGGGCTGAAGCTAAAGTTGTCCTCTTCTCACAGAGGAACAATACGTTCTACTTTCCAATCGGCGGGACTTTGACAGGTGTTGCGTGGTGGTATATGTTAGGGCGTCCTTCTCCTCACATCCAGGCTGTTCCGCCCCCAATCAGGAAGCTGGATTGTGCATTTGATATGCGCGACTTTGAAGAGACCACCTTCAACATGTTCGAGGGGACGAAACGGGACTACCATGATGAAATGGCTCCTGGGGATGTTCCCTTCGAGCGACTTCCACCAATCGAGCGATTGGATCTTATACATGACAGCTACCGGTCCAACATGTTGAGAGTATGGCGCGGGATCGCTGAGGCTTTTTGCATGATGAAATTGTACCTGCTCCGACTAGACGTCAGCAAAGCCCGTGCTGCCGACTCGTAGAAGAAGCTGTGGGGTTCGTGAAAGACTTTCGCCATCGTCGAAGGCCATACCCCAAGCGGATCGAAATACTAGGGGCGTTGGATCATGAGAAGGGAAGTCTGAAGAAGTTCATCGAGGATCGTAATCTCATACCAAAAGATCGCTATTTCTTCGTTGACACACCGGGCTGCAAATGCCGCGTAAGTTCGCGAAACTTGAGTGCGCGGATGTCTCTAGCTGACAGTAGGACCATCCAGACGGATCCTGAAACTTGCTGTAACGCTTGAAATACCTTGGTAACAACAATATCATCAGTCGCATGGTCTACCTATGTCAATGGCCCAGGTGGTGATAGATGGAGATGAGAGATTGTTGAAGATTGCTTGGGCGATGAACCGTGTTCAGCCATGCATCAAGAGGAGGCATCGACGAGCTGTGACTGTCAGGATGTTAAATAGTGCGTTGACTCAGGTCTCTGAGTTTGTGGATGGTGGCGACAAGGTAAGAAAGCAGGGATCTCAGCTTGTCGACAAACGACGCAAGCAATGAGAACAACCGCCACGGAATCCTGTGTACGCATCCGGGGCTATCTATGTATTTGATCCGTGCACGTGTTTCTGTTCAGTCAAGGGGAATCACCTTTACCTTGGAGAAGATTCTATTGTTCTGCCTAAGGCTGCTATATAGGTTTCTATCTACTTATAAATCGCCCAAAATTGAAAAACTGAAATACAGCCATGCGGGGCTTGGGTATCGCTGAATTGAAGGCGCTGATGGGAAATGGAGCTCTGACAAACAAAGACAGGCAGCAGATATCTCGTACAATGCAGTACTGTCAGGTAGATCGGTACTAGATGTCAAGATGCTTGAATGGATGAATACGTAACAATGAGCCTCCCTCTCAACGCGAAGGATCGGTAGATAAGAAGGTCTGAAGTCTCCCGTGCATGTTGTATGAGTGTCTTCGATCTAGGGGCGGCGAGATACTCTCCTTGGCCGGAGTTCCCGCCTTAGAGGAGAAGGTTCTCTCCTAGTGGCTTTTCCAGGAGCAATGGTGACGATTTTGGGCTTTAGCAGATGTCGTCTCCGAGGCGCTCCGGACTCTTCTTCTTCTGACGAACTGGTTGGGTCGGAGTCGCTGGAAGCTGGGGCTTTCCTTCGTCGGGTCCTTGGCGCTGGAGATGGATCTCTTCTGGCGACTCTTTTGGGCGCAGCGGAGACGATTTTTGGTTTCAGTAGCTTTCCTTTGGACCGTAATCTTGAAGACACTTTGTCGTTGTCGTCATCGCTATCCTCTTCTGAAGAATTGTGAGAGTCAGAATCGCTAGACTCGAAGATGGGTGCCTGGCAGGAAAGCGGCCTGCGGGTCGATCTAGATGTACTTGTAGGCGGTGGGGGACTGACAATTCCGTTCCTGCGATTCGCCTCGTTGATGAATTGTACTCTATACTCGTGGGTCTTGTCACCCACGTTTCTGAACGCGGTTCGAACCTCACGGAAAGACTGAGGTGAATCAGTTAAGTTGCCTGCCTTGATTCGGGTCATATGCGTGTGCGGAAGGGTTCCAGGTCCTCTGGGTTGTGTCATATGATGGGTATACAGTTTGAGATCCCCTTCACCGTGGTATATCGCACTTGCCGCGTAAGCTTTGCCGTCGTAAGCCCCCCGTCCCTCCTAGAGACTGAAGACTGTGCACGACTCGAGAGCCTAAGGCACCATCGAGACATGCTTGTCGCTTAGCTACAATAAAGGAACCGTCGGGCCCCTTGGCTTCAGCAAAGTAAGTGGGCAAGAAGGGCCTTTCTTTGCGCTTTGATGGAACTATGGCTTTGTCTAGCAGTCGTCGAAGGGTTCGATTACCTTCCCCTGCAAGTTCTCCTTGGTACCAGTCAGGCTGCGGAACGACGATCTTTTCGGTGATGTAATCGAGGTTTCCGAAGGGTACATTCAGACCAGATGCATATTTCGACTTTCCCACGAGCTTAGGGAATGCATTGCTCATGACCTCGACCTCGTCCCGCGCATCTGTAGCGGCTTCTCTGAACGATTTGTAAGACCTATCGGAGCTGCGGGATGGTGAAGCTCGAGGTTGTATCAGTACTTCCTCCCAATCTTGGTGATTTACAGCTCTGTGTCCTCGGTCCGTAGGAAAGACGTTGTTGTCAATAAGATGCTGCTCGTAATTGCCGTCGTAGGCTGAGGACTTCTTTTCCTTCTCTCCTGCTTTTGACGGGGACTTCGGTCCTGGCTTCGCTTTGCCCTTGCCATTTCGTGGCATTGGGTCTGGCGTAGATGAGACTCCCTCAGGGTTTCGATGCTAAAATGCTATCAGTGCAAGACTATTTCGATAGGAGGAAGAGGGCAAACTCTTCTGATGTCTGAGAGATCAGGACCACCGCGCCGCGCAAAACGAGTGATGCCGGTAGGGAGCTGCTTGCGGGTGATAGTACTCTCCCCGTTTGGAGTGGCCTTGAAACGTAGCAGAGCGTTCCGTCGATTCAATTCACGTAAAGCATTCGATGTCAGCCGCAATTGGGATAGCGAATCCCAGTATGAACGTTCAGCCCTGTCCCAGGTTGACCAAGAGCAGTCGGTCGAGGAGTGGGTAGAAGAATTGGAAGAAGGATAGCTCGAGACCCTTTGCCTTTTTGCCTGAGGATTCGAATGATTGGATGGTTCTGAATGAGTACTCTGGTTCTCAGAGGATAGGGTTCCGGGTCTTCGCTTTCGCCCTGTAGGTGGAGGTTGGGAGTCAGGTGCAACTGTAATCCTTGGCGAAGATGAATCGCAAGGCCAAGTTTCTTGATTTGAGTGAGCTCCGACCTTTCGATTATGCTGCAGATCTGCCATGATTATATAGGAGTCCCAACGTTAGGCGTTATGGAGGATTCGGAAGCGAAGGGAGACTTGAGACGCGCTCATGCATGCGGCCAGGCGTTAAAGGTCTGAGATCATTGCTGCCTAGGAGTGCGTTGACTCTTGTCCTCTCATTCATGACTTTCTTGAGGAGTTGGGCATTTTCCGGCGTCTTGGGAATTGTTTGAAGGCATTGCTGTTGAAACGCGGAAAATCTAATCCAATTTGACGGCGAGGCTATTTTCAGGAAGCTCGGCGGCTAGAAGCGAGCTAACACCCGAAGCGGATAAGCGTGAGGCAGCATATTCAACTTTTCTCGAGACTATTATCCAGAAGACAAATTCATTGGCCTTCATTTGCACATAAGTCTCAAGGCATAGCCTGTATGATCATCGCGTCAAACACGCTTAGCACGATCTTCGTCAAGAGATAGATTTTGTGTTTGTGGCCGCAAGATATGGAAGAAGCTGGGCGAATCGTCTACAAACTTCGATTCCACCACAGCCTCAATGCAGCAGCGCGCAGTGAAATTAGTACAACAGCCAATTGGCACCCTCAAGATTGGTGAAGTTGGAGAAGAGCTAATCCAACCGGACCAAGGTTGAGCGCAACGTGGAAAATTCACAGCAACCTTATTCCGTGGATGCACTTTCAATGCATTTTCGAACTCAGGACTGTGGGTCTATCGATATGGTTGCTTTTGGATAGACGCCCTGTGACTTGCATTCCAGAGAAGATGTGCTTTTCATCAGTATCACAACCGCCATCTCATGAGGGTCATGCCTAATTACGACGGCTCTTTGAGATACTCAAAAGACTGGCATATCTCCAGTCACTGTCCAGTTTCCTCAAGATTATGGATTTCCAATCACTGATACCAGGCATCTTTGGCTTTTCTCTCACATCTTGGTCGCAAAACTATATTTTCTGTGGCATTAATCCCGTCAAAGAATGATACGACACGGTCCGTTGGCGTCAAAGGCTACCACATCCACTGGATTCTCCTGACTCGGCGACAATCCCTTCAAGACTCCAGGCAGCTGTGTGTTGGTAGCCTCACCAATTTTACTAGACCCTTCAATCGTCACGCATGCTGGGGCTATAATTACTGCTAGCGCGGTCTTACCCCCAAAACTGACGACCGAATTTCATTCCCCAACCAATATCTCCCAAGAGAGGGTTTACCTTTTAAGTGAGTCGAATCATTATGATGGCTATATAATAAGGAAACGATGTCATGTTCTTTAATTTCTCAGGAAATCTATTTGAGACGGCTCTGTCATATTAAAAGCAGCTAGTAAAATTTACGCTCTGGAACGGTCAGGGCTGACTGCATCATGGCTTCCTATACAGAAGAGCGCAACGCTTCCTCTGTACTCGGGCATCGACCGCAACGTCTCCACCGCCTCCAAACACTCTCCTTGGTCTCCCAGCCGAGCTCAAGCAAGCCCTGTTCTCATCACTAGCAGATGTGGCATTATTGAATGCGCTTATGGTGACATGCTCCTGTTTGTACGACGCCTCCTCGATAACAAGCTCTCATTCTCACCAACATCTTTCGATACAAAATCGACCCTAGCCTAGTGCAAGATGCCCTGACCACGTTGCAGTCCTCTCGAGTCACTTTCCGAAGGAGAGAGGCAGCCTTTGATCTTGTGGCAGACTACATCACTCTTGTCGACATGTATGTGCCCTCTCGTCCTCGCAGTTAGAGCTTGCGGGAAGCTGATCGATCTAGCTCTAAACATGTAGCCGAGCCTACGATGGGGCGGGGAAACCGCAAAGCCCGTTTCGTTACGGACTGGAGTAATCAGGACCTTGTTAATGGCTGCCTCTCGTTCGGTCCAGCATACCTCCACCGACTCGTTCTCGCAAAGACGTACAACGAACCAAAATTTATCCGGTCAGCCGTTCACCGATGGAGATTTCTTCCTCAATGTCAGGATTCGCTGAGAAGGGGAAAGACCTCTTGATCACTCCATAAGTCACAGGTGATGACGATAAGGGCCCGAGAGATGCGTGGCGTTGGACGCACGCTGATAGCACCCCAGACTGCTGCTACAACACCAAAGAACGTTATGATCTTCCGCGGTGGGGATCCGAGGCGTGATACACTATGCTTTGGATCCTCCGCGTATCTAGCTGGCTGGTTCGGTGCGTTCGAGGATCCATGGCTAGTGGATACATGATTTGGGGTTACATCAGGCTAAGGCAATGTAACATTCTGGACCGGGATTGAAGAACTCTTCCAATGCCCCTCGCGGAAGAGCGTTACAGAACTGGATCAGCCAGTCGGCTACGGACGGGATATCAAAGCGGTTTCGGGGACTGAGGATCAGGTAGCTCAAAGTGTGAGCTGGGGGGGAAGGGAGAGACCAGTGAATGTTCAAGTGGCGATCACAGTTCTCCAAAAAGTCTGCGCAAACTCAGCAGAAGCGAGGAGTGTCGAGATGCTAAAGCGACCGGAGTAAAACATTTGAGATATCAGATAGCCACAAGCTGAGCCAAAACATCAAGCAAACACCTTCAAAACACCTTGCATGGCTGACATCTGTCCGAACCGCTCAAACGCCCAACATCGCTGCACTTACCCCTCTCCATAATCAGAACCACCTGTTCCTCCTCGTCCTCCTCGTAGTCCGCGGAGTCGCATACCCATCATAGCCCACCCCACTATCAGCACTCGTCTTGTGACCGTAGCTGCCAGAACCCGACTTCTTCTCCTTCCTCGCACCGAAGCAGGTGAAGAGGACGATGAACATGCCGAGAAACAAGAGCACCATGGCTGCAAGACAGGTCCACATGCCGACCGAGTAGAAGGCATGAGAGCCTTTATTCTGCTTGTTGACGTGGTCTTTGACGGTCTGTTGTTGTCTATGAGCATCGTTCTTCCGCCAAAGAAAGGAGGGTAAAAAATGGAGGGGGCGGAAGAGAGAGGGAAGAAAAGATACCAAGGACTCACCCCGAAAAGACTAAAATCAACCGCCATAACCACCACCGTCACCACCCACGCCACAAACGCAACCAGCGCGCCGAGAACCGACCCCACAACCCCCGCGCCCAGGCTCAGCCCGAACGCCAGGAACGCAATCGCGCACGCGATCGGATGCAGAACCATCACACGCGTCAACCCATCCACGCCATCCGCACTGGCCCGACTAAACACCGTGCCTGCACAATCACAAACCATCAGTCCAAACCCCCCCGTCGCAAATCACCGCCACCGGAGAAATCCCAACTTGCCGTCCACCGCGCCCATGACGTCCGCAGGCTTATAGCCCAGGCTCCTCGGGGAGCAATAATCCTGGTCGGTGCGCGCGGGGGCGACGTCGAGCACGCAGTGGCCGAAGGAGCCGAACGTGACGCTGGAGTGGCGGAGGTCGCTCGAGTTGGCGAGGGTGACCTTCAAGATGGCGATGTCGCCGATGACGGGGGCGGAGATGGTGGTGATGAGGAGGAGGATGGCGGCGAGGAGGAGGAAGGTGACGCCGAGCCAGTGGAGGGGGGATGTGCGGGCCATGGTTGGTTGGTTGTTTGGTTGTGGGAGAGGGGGAAGAGGGTGGGTTTGGGTGAGAGTTTGATTGTACGCGGGAGGGATGCCGTGAGTGGAGAGCGAGGACTACCGTATTGAACTTTGTCGTGGGCGAGTGCTTGATCTTAACTTGATTTCGTAGATCATGAAAGCAAGGATTACTCTTGAGTGAAAGCGTTTCAAGATTTATAGGAAATTACGACCCAGACCAAGGCAGAACCCATGCGCTGTTGAAGTTGTAGCCCAATCGGGTTAAGCCACGCGTGTCGGGCCGTGGGGGAGGCGCAGCAACTCCGTCATCAGGGTCTCTTCGTAGTGAAATAAGATAACAATCTACCCAGTTGTGGCGTGAGATTGGAACCATGTTCGATGGCGAGTGTGGCTGTGCTGGTTGAATGTAGCTGAAGAGTGCGCGGCAAGGTTAAATACAGCATCGTCGAGTACCAGATTCGGCCTTCTCTTGCTGATCAGCTCAGTCTTATCGGGAGGCTTCGACGACCAGACGACGAGCTTCGTTAGGCGGTGGAGCCTTTTCAGTGCAGATGGCAGTCATGCAAGGTGTTCAAGGGTGTTCATTGATTTCCTCTAAGCAATATCTGTGGTGTCAGAGATTCTCCCTCCACGTCTCCATATCGGTAGCCCACACGTCCCTATTTCCCCAGCATCTCTTGGGTTCCATTGTCTTGGCTCTCTCGGGTGGAGCTGGCGGAGGCCATACAACACGACTCTCGTCCTTGGCGCTCCACCAACCTCTGCCGCCGCGGCACCATATCTCGTGTCTTGCCTTGAAGGAACCCCTCATCTCATCCATGCGACGACGGTGATCCTCACTATTAAATGAATCTCGAGAGAGCTCATCCCATTCGTAAGTTAAGAGACCCCATTGAGCAAGTCGAGCGGAGTCCCACATTACATAGCCCCGTTTTCGAAGACTTCCCTGTTCACTGATGTTGTACCAAGCCGCATTGGTGTTCCCTGCATATGCCCACCGCCATGCCTCTTCTGGACCCTTGTCACCGTCAATGGCAAGTTGAGCAGTGATATGAACGTGTTCGTCCTCTTCCGTGTAATTTTCGAGCATTGAGAGGCCGTTGCCATAGCCTTGTGCCTCTAAAGCGTCAAAGAGTGAGCAAGCGGGGCCTCTTTTGTGCTCCTTTAAGAGACGGCAACGGTCATCGAATGCGGGTGTAGTAACAAGCTGGCGAAGGTATGTCAGGCCAAGAGAAAGGTAGTGTTCTTTCCAGTAGTCATATAGCTCATCCTGGTCATCAAGATAATTCATCTCCAACTGTCCCCACTCAACGTCATGCTCAGCCACCTCGTTGAAAGCTGGATTCATTAGCTAATTGTATGAAGGCCGGAGCTGTTGGGAGCACATACGTAAAGACAAACGTTTAAAGAGATAGTCTCGGACACAAGCTAACTGCTCATTTTCCCAAGGCGCGCAGATTGAGAAAAAGATGCTCTGCGGACTCTCGCTGGCGGCCTTACCGAGTTGGATGTCTTCACGTTTTCGGAATATGTTGCAAAAGAGCTCGTACCTATAGAAGGTTCGTTTGATTCGAGTGGATTCTAGCAATGATAGCGGAGACGGCGATGCCTCGTCAAGTCCAGTCACAGGGTCAATAGACAGCGCCAAGGAAGCGAAATCTCTGGAGAAGAACTCGATGTTATCGTGCAAGCCGCCAACGGCTAAGGCATCACGAAGCTTCCATATCTGGGACAGACATGCGAGATCCTGCTTGGTATACGACTTAAGAAGCTCGATGGCTGCGTCATTACTATACGCTTTAAGCGTCGTGGATTTGAATACAATGGTAGCGTCGAATATGAGATCCAATCCGATTTGAGAGCGTAGGATAGATTTGATGATGAGAGACTCAGCATCGAGGAAGGTGTGATAGAAGGATGAGCATGTCAGGATGAGTGATATCAAGCTTCTAGTATCTGGCAGTGCCGAGAAGATGATTTGTTTGAGCTCAAGCGTAAGAGATAAAAAAGGATTTGGTGGTACAGGTGGTACAGGCGGGAGTAGAAGTTGAGCATCCATCGTTGATGCACGGGCACCACGGCACATTCAACGAGACAAAGATTGTCTGAATGAGAAAAAGGTGCTCGCGGCTGGTCACTGTTGAACAATGCACTGCTGAGTTGTAGATGTTGAAAGAGTCAGAATATCGAAAACAGGGAGCCGCGCTAGTTAGCCTCAGCGGGCTTAGCGCCGGAAGAGAAGGTTCTCTCCGCCAATCACTTGGTGACTTGCCCGAAGACACGTACTATCCTAAATAAAAAGCAGATGCGGTTGCAGGATCAAAGGATGTTTGCATCGCCGGATAATTCAAGTGAGGCTGTTGATGCTGAAGTTAAGGCTAACATAGTACGGAGATGCAGCTACCAGGAACGTCCCTGCCACAATCATCACCGCCGGCCTACTACGAATGTCTGTCAGCCTATTATTCAATCTTTTAACACCCTCACCAATGGAGAATTTGGGAATGGTAGACTGCCAAGCCCGAAGGATTTGGTCGGTGACCTATAGGAAACAGCATAAGCTCGGATGAAAGCCTCTCATTCTGCATGCCCTGCATGGCACGCTCTTGCGTGATAAAAGCTAGTGTCTAAAACGGGTGGCATCGCCAAAATGCAAGCACCCTACTGGCAGTGGTCCCCTCATTGCAGAGGTGGCAAAAGAACATCATGTGGCCAGATGCTGTGCGTACCCCACATGATGTTGTGCGTTCACCGTGCAGGTCGCGCTCGTCGTCTCAACATCGACTCAAAAATCCCGGCTCCAATCAACGTTATGTCTCGCTCGGAAGAGAGTTCTCGATCTGCTGGTGGAGGCTGCATGGCAAGCCTGGCGCGCTTCGGTCGGGCGCTGCTGCCAGTAGAAAGCCGACGACCTTCGGAAGCAAGAAGCAGACCAGACACTAGTTTTCCCTACAGACAAGTAAGCTCTGCCGCCAGGACCACAGGTTTCTGGGTCTCTATGAGCTCGCTTGACAAAATAGGAACTTCAACCCGCCAAAGGAGGGGCTCGCCCTCCCGCAAGAACTTCTATTACATATATCTATAAAGTCCGCACAAACATTTCGAGGCCTGCCCACAGTCATACAGAAAGATTCTCTCGTGGTCAACTACCTAGCCATATCTTTCACTCGTTGGCACCATGCCACGCTCAACATCGACCTCTGGTTCTTCCATATGCTCTTACTATACGGCTCCGAGCGACTATGACACTACGGATGACTATTATTCCAACCTCCCGGTTACTTCAACTGACCTTCGAGCCCGGACTGATAATCCTGGGACATGGCCGCTTAGGAGTAGACGCACTGATCCTAGACTCTCGGAGCGCACAACTAGGTACGTTTATGGAGCGGGTGAAAGGTTTGATACCCTTGCTCTAGTCCCTAGAATTTTCGTACCAGCCGATTCCATATCTGGGGAAGTGCATATTGACTCCGAAATACTCGCCAGGGGTTACAATCCGTCCTACTACGGTGACATAGCGCCGATAGCTGGGAGCTCACGTACGTACATTTCATGGAAATCTACCCCGAATCGAACCCACCATGTGGGTCGCAAGTCATGTTATGGCGTGAATAGCAAGTTCTATCACTGGAAAGTTAGGTGCTGACTGTGAACATCCATAGCTGCCTTAACAGACGTTGGATATCGAATTGAAAGCCCCGATACTCCACCAGTTGGCACACCAATGGGAGATCGCTACCGTCAATACAAGTCATACGATGTAGACGCTTATGAGGCCGAGCAAGAATACAACGATAGATTCAAAGAAGTTCCGAAGGCTCCGAGAAAGAAGCACAAGACCGAGGATTACAAGGGTAAGTTTAACGAAGCCAACCATGTTAGGGACAACGCTGCGAGTTACGAGACAATACCGGGAGCAGAAGGCCTTCATTACACCTTTTTAGTAGCCCATTGTTCAAGGTCCTGTCTCGAAGAGGTTATGCTAATACTGAGTTTTCAAAGGAGACCCCCCGATGACTTTGAACCACCACCGACGGCTAGCGCCGTACGCGGAGAACATGGTCGATGTGACTTGTAGGCATATTGATACACGGAGCGAGTATGACCACGATTATATAGGGCATTATTCTGGAAAGGCACATCGTAAGGGTCATACCAATTATATAAATAAAATAAAAAATAAACAATTTATTTTTTTTGTTATTAACAGTTAGGATCTAATCGTTAATCTATTACTTTCTTGTCGTTTTTGGGGTAGTTTTTAAGTATGTGTGCCAGAGGCTTATGGCCTTTTTAGGTATATATTACTTATTATTCGATCGGGATGGAAAGCATCGATACTGTACCTTCACCTGCTAAGTTGTAGGGTATAAGTGATATCTTGGATGTTCATCGGTACGGGCATGATCCGCACGGCTTCGGTACTGGCTCACACTGGCTTCACATCCTATTGAAAATCTCAACGCCTGTTTAAATCTGTTTCTTTATAATCCCCTTCTGTCGAAATGAATGGAATGATTTCAATTTTTAGGCCCAATAAAGGGACATATAATTATGCATATCTATCACGGCATAAAGGCTATAAAGCGAACAACGGTATTGTAAATCATGTAATAGGGGGCATAGTATATGTACATGGAAAAAACTCACACACTACAAAAGGAACAATGATATTCAAAGATTAAAACCACAAAAAAAAAAACACAATACCGACAGGATCATGCAAGAAGAGTGAAGAGAAGAGAGACTTCGACGGAGGGACGACGAACACAGAAGATTCGTACACGGTGAAGACGAAGCCTACCAAGAAGAGGCGAAGGAGGAGAGAATTCGCGCGAAGAAAGAGAAGCATAGAAGAATGGGGTACGAGAGATCTGCGGAAGACGATGTAAGTTCATCGCTCCTCTGAATGTTATCATACTGTCTGTATGTTACTAAACTCTTTCCTCAGTAGCGCCGCAGAGCAAAGAGTCAAACGGGCGGGCTAGCCTCTAGGGGAAGGATCTCAGATGGTTCGTTTCTCTGTGCCAACATCTTTCCATCATCGAGTGCAAGATTCTACAGATTCTGTTCACGCAGACCAAGCGGCAATGTATTCTATGGGAATCACAGAATAGACTAGCGAGTTCTTACCACGTGAATCTACAAACAAAGCCGGATTCGATAGTCCGTACATGACCATTTACTGTGCTCTGTTTCGCAAGAATTTTCCCCACACCGCAAAGCTTCTTGGAATCATATCTGAGCAGGATCTACGCTAACGTGGTCCCTTCGGAAAGAGGTTCCTACTGCAGGCACTACCGTGTCAGTGATCCAAGCTCGAACACGTAATCTAGGTGACGAAAACTCTTACCCCAGAAAAATTGCCGGGTGTCACAGCACACGGTTCGCCCGACAGGAAGAAGATTCCTCCAACAATAATCCGCCTTCGACAACAAAACCGTCGCAACATACCCATAAATCGTGACACCAATCCCCCCACTAAACACCAACCTCCCCAACCGCATACTACTCCCCCTCCACAACCCTCTTACGCCAGCCTCTCTGTGCAAACCACTAATTGCCTCCCTGTGCCGACCCCCTCCCCCTTGGGACTTCGCACCCGCATCTTCACCGTATCAAACGACTGCGTCGCAAAAGTCGTGACCGCATTAATCAGCACATTCCGATCCTACAAGCCCGTTTTCAAAAACATTATACGACCCGATCCTCACCGCTGACATACCACTCACCGAGCCCCCTATACAGGCCACTCAGCCTGCTCGCGGAGCAAAACGTCGTCGATGAGCGCCTTTTTGATCCTGTCAGTCGGTGTCACAGCATCGATTTACTGGACTATGACGCTAGTACGGAGCTCCAGTCTCTGTTCGACCACAAAACGAGGCTATTCTAGAAATTGCCGTACGAATCCCCACGTGTGTACAACAGTAGCGCCGCACTCGATACAACGTGTGCAGAGATGCAGTGGTAAATGAGCGCCAATATAGAAATAGCCGTGTCTGCTGTTTGGCCTGTGTGATTGGCGAAAATGGATACTCGAACAGTGACTGTGCGTGCGTCCCGAATGCAGGCGACGATAGACATTCTGCAAGATTCTTGTGGACCAGTGAACCGATTTTCAGTTATCTTGAATAGACAGGCTGCGAGAAAGCCGATGGTTCTTCCCTAAAGCCACGAAGTAGATCGCCAGAAAGCGGATTCTGTGCGAAGAGGTCTAGTGCTTTAAATTGGGTTGGAAAGCAGTCCCTTTTATACTATAGTCATAATCACTGTGGGTTTTCAACTTATTGCTACTATTCACTTGAAAACTATTGGCGCTAGTGTTGTCAGGCATGGTTGAACTGAGCTTGGAAACATCTGGAGTATTGCATCCAGATCAACAGATGATGGTGTTGCTCCAGCTATGAGTCATAGTCAGCGAATCTCTGCTCAAGTTGACTGTTCTCCACGTAACTCAGACGGTACGCTAACGGACCAAAAGGTGGCCATGACTTATCCGGCACAAGAGAAAGCCCATTGGCAATCATCAGATTCTTGACGATCTTGGCCGTCTTTGAGACTCCAGAACTAGGTGTGTTCGATTTGTCGAGCACCTGCAGGCTCGTGTGCACCAAAGACGTGTACTTGCCGCCATTCGCGCCCTCATATCCTGCAACATTACGGACATGAGGAGTACAAGCCACATAGAAAGTATACGCAAAAACATGTGTTGCGCCTCTCAGTGTATACATCGATCGATAGGCAAGCATATTACTGGTGATCTTGCGCGCCGGAGCGGTGCATTACCTCCAAGAATTTGCGGGAGTACTGGCCGACCGCAGATGATTGTTGGAGATGAACGGTCTATGGAGCAAGATGACCATCGACCAATAGGTGTCATGGTGCATGACAATGTTCCGAGGAACGGAGCGGTGCGCGGGTTTGGTGTCACTAGACCCGGGCTTGAAAAGTAAGTCTTGTATTGGATTTCTACTCCAGGCGGTGAGACTGATGTCTATGGATTGCAAGCTTGAGCTGGAGATGGCGGTAGACGCTCCGACGGCATAGAAGCGGTTCATGTTGTGCGCTATGATCCGAGAGAGAAAGCACAACTGCTGGAAAGTGGAGACAGAAAAGAATGGGGATGGATCCAAAGGTGCACACATCGTGTTGTTAATATTAGGACTCTGACTATTCACGTACGGAGTCCAGATATTCATTTCTTCTCATGTTTCAAAGAAGTTGCGTGAGACGTGCGCTTCCCGCATGTAGATAGCCGCAGGTCGCCCAAAGTACAGGCACTGCAAGTTGTCACAGATTAAGCACCCCAGAAGACCCGTTTGCGGCGTTCGCTATGTTGTCGTGGTGCAACCCAAGCTCATACCCCTTTCTAAAAGCATATCCTGTGTATATACAGCCTTTGGAGATCTCTCCGCGAGAGTTGAACATCGAGCAATTTAGTAGAAGTCCAACCATTGTTGGGATGCTAGATTGGACTAAGAGCTTCTCTTGGCTCAACACCTTGTCGCATTGTCTGAAGAATCGACCTCCGGCTGTTGTTGGATCGCTGGGGTCATCCCGAATCGACACTCTTCCGGAGTAGTTGCTCCTACAGGCCAGGATCGCATAGAGCAGAAACTTGGAGCAGCCAGGACCTCTCAGAGCTAATATCTCGCATGATTGCTGGCCGATAAGTGATGAGAAACTTGTGATGCTGTGGATGCCAATGACAGTCGAGATTATGCATCATAAGCTCCCATGAAATGCCATCAACCTCATGTAACTGGCGAAGACGATACCCTTTTTGACGTTGTAAAGTTGCATTAGCGATGAGCTGGTACCGGGCGTTGTCTCCTAGCTGTGGCTTCGGAGCCCAAACCTCTATTGGAGGACCTTGATTTACCGAAGTTGTCTCGAAGACGCCGGCTTGCTTCTCTTCCCCCAATGAGAGGACTGATACGTTGTCCATGACATCCTGGTTTGAGTCACCACCATCTTCGTTGATACAGTCGTCCTCCGGGATCAGATCCATGCCTGAAGCATCTGCTTGCAACTTCTGCTGCGAAGATTGCAAATCATCCTAGCTTTTCCTGACGTTGCTTAAGTCGTAGGGCGGCAGACGCACTGAGCCATCAACAATATTAATAAACTTAAGCGTGTGAGCTCGCTGGTCAGCTGAGCTGTTCTTCAGTGATAGAATAGCGTTCTCTAATGTCCGCTTCCCACCTTGCAATGCATGTACTATTGCCGTAGACGGTCTCCTTTTGGATGCCGCAAAATCGTAGTAGCGTCTACGCGAAAACAAGCTTTTAGCCGCAGGACGTTATTCATACATACAGCGCTAGCACTCGTACACGAGCTAGCGGTATTGTTCGAAAGCCTGAGTCTTTTCTGAGTTTTGTCCACTGCTCTCCAGAAGACTCCTTACCAAGTCTTTACGACCGGTTCTTGACAAAACCACTTCACACCAACAATGTAAAATAACACGTCTACGGGTTCATATGGAGGATGCTCTTCAAAAGGCGTTGGCGATTCGGCACGAGTGCCGAAAAGCGGGGTCTGTTTGCTCCTCCGCTTTACCTTCGACTTCCAGAATCGGCTCGTATATCAAACTTCGACGGGACCTGACGGACCGTCGATGGAGGCAAGACAGGTTGACGTACCGTTTTGTTCAACTGATGGTCTCGTTCCGCTGGTTTCCCAGCATCAGAGAATCACGCTCCGTCTAGCACGGAGCTATCCATAGCAATCAAGTGCAGGTCAGAGATCCCGTCTACGCAGTGATCCATGTCGTTGGTGCTGCTTTCTTCTGTACATGCGGACCAAGTCAGACCCTTGAAGACCAGTTTCTCGTGGTGCAAAGTCCACTAGAGAGTGTCTCAAAAGAAGGATACAGCTTTCTTTTGCTAGTTGATCCACATCTGCGATTGCTGTGATTCGAATTGAAATCATAGGAGCATTTCAGTAACACCTTTTGCGGACAGCTCTACCTATAGACCTCACGCCATGCCCTCGCTTCCTCAGAGCTGCGACGTTCTCGTCGTCGGTGGGGGAAACGCGGGCTTCTCAGCTGCCATAGCCTCAGCTCAAGCTGGAGCAAAGAAGGTCGTAATCATTGACAAGTGCCCGGAAGATTGGGCTGGCGGCAATTCCTACTTCACAGCAGGAGCTATGCGAACTGTCCACGATGGCCTCTCAGATCTTCTCTCCGTCGTCAACAACTGCGACGATGCTACCGCTAAAATCATTGATCTTGACCCGTACACCCGCGAAGACTTTTCGAAAGACATGGCACGCATATGCTTGGGGAGATCAGATCCTCATTTGAGCAAAATTCTTATTGATGACTCAAATGGTGCTATCAAATGGCTGGCTCGTAATGGCATTCGTTTTCAACTATCATTCAACCGACAAGCGTATATGGTAAATGGCCGGTAGGTAGCTTTGCTGGCAAGGCGTTTGGCATCAGTTTCGCTGACGGCAGTGCCTGCAGATACAAGTTTTGGGGCGGCATGGCTCTCAAAACCCAAGACGGCGGTAAAGGCCTGATCGAAGACCACAAACGCGCAGCCGCTAGACATGGTGTCCAAGTGTTCTATTCAACAGCTGCAACACGCCTCAACCGGGACCCCATCAGTGGCGCCGTTATCTCCGTCGACGTCGAGCACGCCAGCCGATCCTTCACCATCAACGCCGGAGCCACCATCCTAGCCGCAGGCGGTTTTGAGGCTAATCCCCGTATGCGCTCGCAGTATCTGGGGCCAGGATGGGACCTCGCGTCGGTGCGGGGGACCCCCTATAATACCGGCGACTTGTTCGAGATCGCAATGCGCGATGTTTCCGCTAAACAAGCAGGGAATTGGTCGGGCTGTCACAGCACGGCTTGGGATGCCAACGCCCCCGCAAACAGTGGTGACCGTGCTGTATCAAACGAATTCACCAAGTCAGGATATCCATTAGGCGTAATGATAAACGCTGATGGCCTCCGCTTCGTAGACGAGGGCGTAGACATGAGGAATTTCACCTACGCCAAATTTGGCCGCGCCATCCTCCAACAACCTCAAGGCATCGCATTCCAAGTCTGGGACTCGCGCACAATCCCATGGCTCCGTGACGAAGAATACCGGGACGCCGTCGTTGAGAAACTCCGCGGCAACACAATCGAGGAGCTTGCAGATCGCTGTAGCGAGAAAGGCATGCAGAACCGCTCAACCTTCATTCAGACCTTCGGAGACTACAACGCAGCGGTCTACAAACATCGCGAGGAGAACCCCAACATCAAATGGGACCCAGCGATCAAAGACGGCATGTCAACCCAATCGTCATCCTCCGGACTAGCCTTGGCCAAATCAAACTGGGCATTACCGATCGACAAAGCACCCTTCATCGCCGTCAAAGTTACCGGAGGTGTGACATTCACATTCGGGGGCCTGGCCGTCAATCCGGAAACCGCAGCCGTCATCTCTTCGACTTCGATGAACGAAGTGCCGGGCCTGTTTTGCGTTGGCGAGATGCTCGGCGCCCTGTTCTACGATAACTACCCAGGCGGATCAGGCTTGACCTCTGGTGCCGTCTTTGGCCGGAGAGCGGGGACCGCTGCGGCCGAGTTGGCTAGGAGGCTGGATGTGAAAGCTAAGGAGAAGTATGCAGTCGTAGGAGCTCGGCTTTGAGTTTTTGTAGGCGGGCAGGTGAGTTTCGGGTTGAGGTAGCATTGGCGTCGTGTATACGTGCGAGCATGTGAGGAAGTGATTTCAAATCTGCATAGCTGCAAAGATAGTGATAGCGGCATAGACGGTGATGGCCACGTTAAAACTTGACTTCATTTTCTCATGCCAATCCCAGTCTCATTTTCCGCGCCAAAAAGTATATACAAGATCTGAAAGAAGCTTGAAAGAGAAGGTTGCAACGATATCAATCTCTACCTCTCCGTCACTCCAGCCCCGACGCATCCTCTTTCACAGCCTGATCGTAATACGGCGAAAAGCAAGCCACATCTCCCTCGGATCCCCCCTCTTCATGTGCGTCATCTCCACCTCTTCCTTCCCAACATACACCTTCTCCCATCCCGGCTGCCGCATTCGCCATCGTCTGCGCATGGCAAGACTCATCACGAGGTATGAACAAAGCCACCGCCTCATCCACCTTCTGCCCACAAGCAATCACGCCACGGTTCTGCAATACCACGCTCCGCATCGTCGGGCCCAACGCTCTGGCGCTCCTGGCGCCTTCCTCGGTGGAGACGACGGTGCCGCCATAGCATGGGTAGACGGCGCGGTCATTGCAGGAACGAAGGGCGTCGTGCTAGATCATCTCGACTGGGCAGGCGAAGCAGGAGAAGGCTTTGCCGAAGACGGAGTGAGCGAGGCAAGCGTCGCTGATATCGGGCCGGCGCACGTTGTGGATTCCGGAGTGGATGGCTCAAGCGGGGGCCGTTGACGGCGCTTTGGGCTCCCGGATCTTCCCAAGCGAGAGTATGCGGATCTCGAGATATTGAGCCAAGCTCCATTCTTTTGAAAGCATCCCACTTGGCTTCGAAGAATCCATGCTGCGCTGGCAATGGGTGCAAACAGGGTGGACGAGGTGCACGGGATGCGCGGGAGTGCAGTGTTGTCCCCGCGGTGCTGCAGGCTGCCAGAAGCACTGAATTGTAGTATTTCATCCCCTCCAAGCGGGTCTGCCCATCGTAGCCGGTGTAGTAGCCGTCATTTGCCATGATGAAGAGATGGCGTCTGACGGCAAGTCTGCGGTCCTTTGCTCCACTGAGGACCCCGGTAACGTTTAGTTCTCTGTGCACAGCGGCCAGATGCTACTCACTGAATGGCCTGATCAATTCCCCTGGTCTCTGCTCAAGCCGGGATGGTATGGTGTCTGCTGCTAAAAAAAAAAGAGGTTGGAGACCCTGCGAGCTGTGAGTAAAGAGCTTAGTCAGCGATGGCCTTGGCATTGCTGTTGAGGGGAGATGTTGACGCTTTGATAACAACTTCTGCATGTGCTACGGTGAGTCATCGTACCTATATGAAATCTTGACTCTCTTTGATGTATAATCAGGAATCAGTCGGCCTGATCGCCATTCTAGCATCATGCCACTCCACAGCAGATTGATTGAATGAACAGGACAATTTTTAATTGATATAGAGAGTGCATATCTTAGGGCGTGAGTTTCCGTGGGTGATGAGAAATGTTGTTTGGTATGCAGCCTCGTCCTGTGCTCTGGGACGGGTACAAAGACGGTTGGCTGCAGTACATATCCATCGAGTACTGCAGGAGTATCTCGGTATCAAGGTACAGACCAGAAAGCCCCAAGGCTCCAGATCGTCCGGACCGTCCGGCCAGGGCCGTTGAACAGCCCAAATTGAGCCTATTTCATCGTCCGTGGTGCGTCCAGTACCTTGGACCGTCCAATTGCAACCTGACTGTCCGTGATAATAGTCCCGCCAAGTTCAGAAGCTGGTACCGAAACGACTGATATATAACTCAAGAAGCTAATTGTCTATGCTAGATAAGAGATCTTCGAGCTCAGCCCTAACATTACCACCACAAGTGCATCAATCATACTCGCATACATGCCCGAAATCTAACCAAGTATTCGCTACAAACATTACTGTTGATCTATTCGTCCAGACCGTGCGTCCGCCCACCTCGCTCGGACTAGTCCTGCACCGTCCTAGACGAACGGTCTGAACGAAGAATCCGGACATTAGGGTCGGACGGTCGAGAGCCTTTCAGAAAATCCAAACTCGCATTGATGATACTCTTCACACAATTGCCTTCTGCACTCTCCTTCCATGCCGCCTCTCAACTCTGCGAGATCGAAAAACCATACGTCGATAGCATCGCATCACTCCCCGTGAACACCTCCGACCCTGCCGTTATGCTCTGAATATAATAATTCCCTGGAAAGTCCTCGTTCGCCTCAAGGTAGTTGTAGAAAGCGATAAGGTCCCCGCTGTAGTCGGTAGCATCATCGATAGCGACGAAGGTGTAGACGTTTGTTCCTTCTTGATTCGTGCCGATGATGAGGTTGAATTGGGTTTCACCGATGTATGGCGAGGCGGTTGGGGTGGGAGGGTAACCGTTGTTGCTGAGGGGGTAGAGGTCGCTGCCGTAGAGACCGAGCCAGACCATGACTTCATAATTTTGGGCGCCGTCGCAGGAGCTGCCGACAAAGGTGTCATAGCAAACGTTGGCGCGAATGTCTGAGCCAGTGTAGCTGCGTATCATGTCAGTGCGTGCAGCTAGCAGGGTCTGTGAGGGCACTTACCTCCACGACCAGCTCGTTGGGATAGAACTAATGGAACTGATCTGCTGGCAAGACGTGGATGAGGACGCGACATTGGTGTACGCCTTGACATTGTTGACATTGTCTTCCCATGACCAGGTTGTCTGCCATGCAAGAGAATTGCCATCCAGACCGTTGATTTGAGAGCATTGGGAGCCTGTGCCGGTGGCTTCACCCCATTCGTTGGTGTTGAGAGAGTAACTCCCAGAGTAGACGCTGTCGTACATGCCGCATTGAGGATCTCGAGCCTCGAGCGCTTTTGACGGAGCAGCGGAGGTGGGAACGAAAGTCGCCAGCAAAGGCAGCAGATGGAAGAAGGCTTGCATTTTGAGTAATTGAGGATGATATTTTTCAAATTTGCTTCCGTTCAGACGGATTTTTGTAATCTTGAGGAACGTGAATTTAACAAGACGATGCCATCTTTATAGCAGAATCGTTGCCGCAAATGCGAGGGAAAATCATGACGTTGAAGATAAGCTTCCCTTCGGAGACCTGACCTTGCTGTGAATCCCACCTGCATGGCGATAGCGTACAAAGGAGAAAATGAGTGGAGGCAGAGCGTAATGAACCACCCATCGAAGACCTTACCGTGACTTCAGTCCGACCTGCATAGTGATAGGGTACGTAGGAGAAGATGTGTGGAGGCAGAGAGTAATAAACCTCTCTTCGAAGAGCCCTGACCCTGCCCCAACACCCCACCTGCATGGTGATAAACCTCTCCTCGAAGACCTGACCTTGCCCTAAATCCCACCTGCATAGTGATAGCGAACGTAGGAGAAAATGTGTGGAGACAGAGATTCATAAACCACTTTTCGTAGAGCCGACCCTGTCGCAATTCCGACCTGCATCGCGATAGCGCAGGACGGAGAAAGTGTGTGGAGGCAGAGCGTGGGGAAGCTGTGGCCAACTGTCTTGCACATGTGTTGCCCTGTTTTGCAACGGTAATTTGGAGATATCACCCAATTGACTTTAGCCACATGCCCTGCATGCGCGATGGACTGCAGCAGTCCTCGCAGGGCAACGCAAGGCCAGAGTCCCAAAGAAGGAAGCCGTCGGCTAGGCCAATGAGCACGGCGCACCTAGACGCACAAGCCGCAGAATGCGCCAATGAAGCTATCTGCATCATCGGCCAGGTTAAGATGCGACGAAATATTGGAACGGGCGGCAAAGACGTTGGCATGCCCGTCCGAAAAAGGAAGGAGGTAAGGGTCTTAGCAAGGCTCCTTGGTCCCAAATAACGTTCTCAAGATAAATCAAGCTGTCTCAATATGCGGAATCAAAGTCTATTGCGCAGTCCGAGGATTTCCATTCTGCAGGATCGCTGAAGAGTAAAGATCGCTGGAAATGAGCCCAAAACGATTTTCGGTAGGCTGTCCTTGGACCCAACAAAAACAAGGAACTTCACTCCGTCCCACGGTAGGAGCGAGGATGAGGGAACGAGTCAAAGACGATGGAAGAGGGTGATGAAGACAGGGATTGGAAGGGGTATGTATCGTGCAGAAAGACCAGGATGTTGGGACCGGTTGTTGAGTAATCTAGACTAAGCTCCATTCGAACTAGCTGATCTAGAAGACCATTGAAGACGATAAGGAAGAAAGTATGAAGGTGGCCATGCTCCAGTCTAAATACACAAACATGCCCGGAGATCGGCCTCGTGACTTCACCTATTTTGCTAGAAGATTCCACCAATATTGGAGGGATCCATGGATGCGTTTTCCAATATTCGGCATGCGAAATAAGCCTGATCATCACCAAATGCCCCAACACCAGCTCAGCCAATTGAAATTGGCGGGGTTCGAGGTTGGCCCATGTGTTGTCTGAGAAGCCACTATCTCCATCTACAATGGTTTTGTACCAAGTGATCTGAGCCACTTGCGACATCAAACTCGAGTCTCTTGCACGTGGCGCGAGACTCTTCTCCCCGCAAGTACCGAGCGGGGCGTCTCAAGATTATAGGACAGACTCTTTCTATCGAAGCTTTCTGGATAGAATGAAACATTGCAATAGGTCTAGGCTATCCAAAAGGCGCTTATTTCATACATTGAGTAGTATGTTTTTCAGCAACATCTACTTCGTCGATGCTGACGTTTTTATCTCTTGTCAGGACTCTTTCACCCTCCTCTGCGCATAGCTGTGCCGAGACTCCATCTGCAACTGCGACACCGTGAGCGACAGCGATGGTGATTTGTGTCATCGGAGTGCCTGTGTCACCCGCAACAAAGCAACTTTTGACGCTGGTCTCCCCAAATGGCTCGTTCATTTTGAAGTAGCTTCCGAACATAGTACGAATGATCTCCATGCCAAGCCCGTCGACCATCACCTGTTACCCCACTGGTTACGTGGGGGGCTTGTCAATCAATAAACCCATTCGTACGCTTCCACAGTCTCCGAAATGGACATCTACCTACCTTCTTCTGCTCATTGGGTGTACGGGTCAGCTCGATGATGATCCGTTCGTCGAAGATATAGCCGGTAGATTGTGCCGCATCCATAGCTTCTTTCAATGCAGGATCTCCCGAAGATGGACGTTAGTGAAGACCGTGACGTTCGGCTTGTCACCGCTCAAATAACAGACCATCATCGCATGGTTGAGGTGATTCGTTGAAGAGAATCCGATCTGTCCGATAGGTCAATGAGAGCATTCAAAGCCATCGCAGAAAAACCATTGGTTAGCTGCAACACCTGCATTAGTACTGCAACGGTGTGTGGAAAGATAAAAACCATACAAGTTACAGGGCCAATTCTCGGCGTACCCCTTAATATCCGGGAAGACATCTCTTGTCCCCGTCGCTAGCACTATGTTCCTTCCTCTGCACACTTTACCGCCCTTCTCATCGATTTGAGACCCTTGAAATCCATTCTCAAAGTAAGCCTTCCGAACCATGATAACTTCGCCTTCGGCAAACTCGATACTGTCTCCATATTTACCCATCTGCTTTCTGATTTTCCTGCGGGACTCCGTGGGACGGGCGCCATCGGAATCGAGGACAGTGTGCATGGCTTTGATGCCATTGTTGCGGGAACTTTAGGGAGAGAGCACAAGGGCGGTACGTTTGACCCGGGCGAGACCGAGGCCTGCGGGGCCGACGCCGAGGATGAGGGTGCCCATAGATCTTGCCAGGCATAGTGATCTTGAATGGTATTTTTGGTAGATTTGAGTGGTGAGTTGTCAATGGATGATGATTGTGAGTGAGATGTGGGCAATCAAAGTATATCGGAAAGGTTTGTTCTACGTTTCAAGACGGATGTGATATTTCTGTGATCTGATTTGGGGTTCTGTTTTACCGGATAGTCAGCTTGAGAGACGTCCATACATTCCATAGCGATCCGAATACTTTTGGCTTTTGATTCTACTCGTATATCTGAAATGCTTCCGATGCAACAAGAGTCTGCGGAAAGTCGACAGCGATTTCCAGAACTTCCCCAGCTGATGGCGACAGCACTGAAACCACCTGCATTATCACATGTCAAGTTTCCACAGCGTCTTAGCCCTCATTCTACCATGTATGCAGGTCAGGTACCTTAATGTTCGTAGGGTAGACTAGCTTCCGACGCTAGTCCGATAACGTGAAACGAATGACAAATCGTGACAGCCAATCGGGCCGAGCCGAGTTAGTGGGTTTCGAAAATTCCCAGCAGGTAAGAGGATAGCCAACAGCTCCACCAACAGTACTGTTCCATTGGTAGATCAAACAATTCTGCGACGTCACATATGAGCGTCTTGAAACTGGTGTCACCCTTCCTTCGTACTCATGACTTTCATCATCTATTCGTAATCAGGCGAGCTCGATGTACAATACGAAAACCCCTCATCCGCGCGTCCTCAGGGACGCCAGATGAACAACCCGCTGTGCCTGTCATACTCTAGAGCTTTGAACAAGTTCACGGCATTATAATGAATGGAATAGGTAGACAAGACTGAACAACAGCCTCATCTTTAACACATATTCTACGCGCAAGGTCCTGCTTCAGGCCAGAACGGGGGCACGGATGAATAAGCACCTTCCTGCTGTGACCTCATCTCCGAGCCTTGCATATAACTACCTTCTCACATTGTTCTAATCTATCATCAACAATTCTTCACATTAAATCGAGTCATCCGCCCCGTTCGAGATCTACACGCCTACCTAGACGCAGTACTTGACATTCGGACGATCAATGGCGCACATGCTCGATGGCCCAGTCCCTGATGGTGCACGCAGCGTATCCTGGCCATGGTATCATCACGTTCTCACAGATGAGTTGACCGTGGATGCACGTGCTCTATTCGAGCAGTATGCCAAGGTCCCACCAAAAGACGTCGAAAACCATATCTACCGAATAGTAAGCTCCAAGGCCTTTCGCAACCACTCACGTTGGCTGATTTGTTGGCTTCATAGAGAGATAAAGCTTGGGGTATCTTTCCCTGGCCATGCATTGGGGAGTTCTGGTTCCTCAGCTTCGGCCTAGCCAAGCACCCACTCTACCACAATCTGGTCCTCCCACGTTTGAAGACCGGAGATTCACTGCTCGATCTGGGATCGTGTATGGGGCAAGATCTCCGAAAGCTCGTATTTGATGGCGCACCCTCAGAAAAGATTTATGCTTCCGATGTATTCCCACAATACGAAGGCCTCTCCTATGAGCTATGGCGTGACAGGGATACCTTCCCTCATCACTTCTTGGCTGATGACGTCCTGGCTGACAATGAAGACTTCATGAAAGGAGCTTTGATGACCAAGCTCGGCCCAGGTCAAACCGATATCATCGCTATCAACATGTTCCTTCATCTCTTCGACTACGAGAACCAGCTAAAAGTCGCAACGCGCATCATCCGTCTCCTTTCCCATAGACCCGGAAGTCTGATACTTGGCTCCCAAGCTGGTGTGCGACCTCCTATGGAGCAGCCACTGAAGCCGCCCTTCGACAAAACAGAGGACGGAGAAACTAGGACCATCTACCGACACAGCCCAGATTCCTTTATAGACCTCTGGAAGAGGGCTGGATCCTTTGCGGGAGTGCCGATCAGAGTCTGGGCCGATTTTCAAATAATGGAAAAGAAGTCCGAACAGTATCCTGCAGGTGTGGATACAGGACTCGAGGCCGTCGCATCAAAGAAACCTTTCACTGCAGACGATCTCTTTTCGACGAGTTCGGCGAAGAGGGTCCTGTTTTCGACGGAGCCGGAAGCTAGGAGGCTATATTTTTCCATCATCAGGACCTGACGAGATCAGCGTTGGTCCCATTCAGAACGAAGATGCCATGTGGGTTGCACTCGCATGCTGGAACTCCGCTGTGTGGCGGGCATAATACACATGGGCAGGACCTCGTATTCTGCGTCCACTACTGTCAAGACCAGTAATAGCGCTTACGCTGCCACCGAACGCAACTGCAAGAGATGAGGATGGTTACGCTGGGATATATATGGGAATGCTTGCTTGCCAAAGAAGGCAACGTGAAAGGCGTCCCAACTGATGCCCCAACATGGCTTTTTTGACCTGGCTCTGGTAGTTGGGCCAGGGATACATTGGTTTGGTCCATGCGCAATTTTTGACGCTTTCTGTCCTGTCGGAACTTTGGATCTTTACAATACGCCTGGACAGTAATCTAAGTGCCAGGGGTGTAGACGTAACTTTTTCTTGTGTGTTGATGACTAAACGAGTTTTGAGCCTCGACAAGATTATCCACTCCTTCGTTCACAATCAATTTACTAGATGACAGTATGAGATGTAGTGAATGGAGGGTGACGAAAGCGGGGAGTCGACGTAGAAGTAATCGACCGTTCGGGTTAGTTCATGGGGTCTCACACGATGAAACGCCAGTCACACACCCTGCTACCCTCTCGTCGATCCTTAGTTTCGTTCCTCATCAACATTTTCGCCATTCATGTCATCAACAGCCTGGTCCATCTCCAAGGCTTCTGACATCGTGGGCAGGGGTTACGAGACAGTACTTCTCGAAGGCATCGTCCCAAGAGATTGGCCTGACTCTGATGTTGTGAGCACACACGTACGCCCTCAGTTGGAGCATGGATCGCCTCAGAAGCTCGTCCACCTGAACGTTGTTAACAGGCGGATCACCAGCACTAGAGCTAGCAGACTCCGTCACCAGTGCCAAAGATGTCAGACCTACATCCTCGCACTTCCTCCTCGAGGCAGCCGCCGTGGTTACCTTCTTCAGTCTCCCCAGCGAAATCAAAGTTCAGATCGTCGAGACTACAGCGTCGTATGACATCGAGAATTTTGCTCTGTGCTGCGAGCTAGTCCATAGCCTCGCAGGAGCGACCTTGAGGCAGCATAAAGTGGACAAAGAGTTGTACTCCAGGTTCGATTCGCCTCGCGTTTGGGACGCGGGAAATTCGGAGTGTCTAGCAGCCTATTGGAAAATCCAGGCAATAGCAGAGAGCAGATGTCTTCGACTCTATCCTAAGATTGTCATCGTGGAGAATTGCACGCTTTCGGACCAAAATCGCAGAAGAGCCAGGGAGCTCGGAGTACTGAGTGAAGTCAGGCGCATATGCGATGTCATCTTCAATGAATTGACTCACCAGGTACGGACAAGGATGAAATGAAGGCTTGGCACGATGAAATCGGCGACGGTGAAGTAGGGGCAGCAAACTGCCTGTTGCTCACTCTGCTTCCGAATGTTGACCGAATATCTGTTGGGGAACTTGACTGTTTCGGCGAAGAGATGTCAGGTCTGATATACAGAAGCTCAAAACCCTATGGGAAGGTCTCTTCACTGTTCTGAGAACACTTCAAGCGTTACATACATGGTCATAATGTAAGCTAGGGAAACGCGAAACCTTAGCTTTACATCAAAGTTCTTTAGGTACTTTGGCTACTTCTGACTTTACCGCTAGATTGTACTACGACCGAATCAGCTAGGTAAGGTAAGTGCGTGGCACGATGATAAGATCCAGAATATCCCACAAAATCCAATTGACGGAAACCATGTTTATTCAAAATCGTAACAATACAGGTTATTCATCTGATGATGTTCTGTTTCAACACTTAGTCCGTAAGAGCATCTATAACTTGAAAGAGATTTGGACCCTTTAAGAAGTCTACGAAATGAGGGTTCCGCGAAGAATTTGGTTCTAGCACGGTAGCATTGGATCTCCGAGATAATCATGGCAAAGCCCCAGCAGATTCGAAAGAAAAAGGTCAGTGCCCACTCGAAAATAGGGACCCGGCATTGCGATTCATCTCCCCCATCTTCGCCGAGGCCTACACTTGTATCTGACTCGAAAGCACCGACTACGGGGCGAAAGCGGAAGCAGAGAACCCTTCCGCCTGACCAGCAAGACACCGGAGACGCATCAATCGAACATCGAGATAATCAAAGCAAGTCTTCTTCGTCGAGCACGAACTCTTATCGGATTTGGGACCGAGCTGAACGGTCGTACTGGGACTCGCTGTCGACGCTGCGTTTGACCTCCGACTGTCTAAGAGAACTAAATCGACAAAACGCTTTGATGAAGACGAGTGTTCCTAAAACAATTCCTGCGGTCGAGCATCCTGGACGCTACGGAAGTGTATGTCATTTTGCGCGCCACGGTGGTCCTGATCTTTCCGACATAAGAAATGTTGAGATTCTCCCTGGGCCTCATTGCTTATGGAATCCAGCCATTTACTGATCGGATTTTAGCATCGAAACCCCGAGGGAGTCTTGTCAAGACCGACTCTATGGTCATCAAGAAAAGCTAGCAAGTCTAAGCCAGACCGTAAGTCTCCCGTAGATGAAGAGGAGGAGACAGGAGGCTCGTCGGCTTACGACTCGAATTTTGAGCACCATCTTACCCAGAACCACTTCTTCCGATGTAAATACCATGGGAAAAGGCCTGCGAATCACCAAGAGTGGGTTGAAGCCATAAAGCAGCCTCGGGCATCACTTTCGTCGTTGCGTATGTCCGATGAGTATGAGGCATTGTCAAGGGCCGCCGATGATGCGAGAAACGACAAAGGCCAGCTGATGATCCAAGTGCTCCCAAAGCTGATGGGTGAGAAAAACAGCTACCGTTCGGGCAAAAGGGTAAAATTTGATAACTTGGAGCCTTTGACGCAAAGAATCCTCGACGCTCGGCCTGACTATTATGAAGGGCATCACGCGGGGCTAGAGAATCGATTACTTCGAGAGAAACTGAGGACGATCATCACTCCCTCAATCCGCCAAGACACTCCCTTCTTGCCAAATTTCTTCGTGCAAATCAACGATGGCGGGGGCTCCTTTGCTGTAGCGGAGAGACGAGCTCGCCATGTTGGCGCGTTAGCAGCTCGAGGCATGCACCGCCTCCAGTGTCTTGGAAGGACAGAAGCTTACGACAGCAATGCATACACCATAAGCGCCATCTACTACGCTCAATTTCTCAACCTGTATACCCACCATCTCACGCAGCCTGAAGGATCTGGCTCTCCTCCACATACACACATGATTGCGCTTAAGAGTGTACCTCTATTCGATTCTCCCGAGTCGTTGTACGAGGGATTGACTGCAATCAGGAATGCGAGCGAGAAGGCCAACGAGTACAGGGAGCAGTTCATCGAGAGCGCAAACCTCAGACTAGAAAGCGACACTCCGCAGGATTAAGGACTCGGATGGTCCTGGACCCACAGTCCTCTCTTACCTCTCGTCTTCAACTCAAATAGTTTTCCCAGAGAGCCACCTCTCAACGTCGCGGCAACGCACATTAAATCATCATTGACTGGTGCATCCAATCTTGTCGGACCGAAGTCCTCCAATACACCAATAGAAGAGTTCGTGGCGCTACCCATAAAGCCAAAACCGGGCATCTTGCGAAGCAATGCCGTCCATAACATCAACAACCCATTTACAACCAACACCACCTGCATGAACGTTTGCAATTCAAGATAAAAAGCCTCGACTCTGAAATAGACGAGCTGGAAATATTCCCATTTCCTAATGCCCGAAGAAAGACCAACACAGAAGGACACGCCGACTAAGTACTCGAAGCGCCACTGCGAAGACTCCGCGACGCCATGGCATTGCAAGAGATCGCGGAGGGGGATCAGCAGCGTGGACAGCATAAGGGCGACGATCGCTCGAAAGGCGAGAGCGTGTAGGAGACTGAAGGAGGTTATTGGCGTCCCAGCTCGATATAAGATGTCATCTTCTATGTGACATACTGAGACTGCCACCTTGGAGCGAATGAGACATGCACACGACAAGAGATCAAATTTGGGTGGCGCCGCAAGGGGTGTCGACATGAGCCTTAAATTTCCAGTGGGGCGACATAGTCACTTCAATAAAGCCTGCGACAATCGTAACCTGTTTTTTCAAGCAATGGGGACTTAGAATGCGTCACATGTCAAAGGACGGCGAAAAAACACCGGCTAGTTCCAATGATTGCTGTTCAGGCAACAGTATCGCGTCTGCAACATCTAAGTCTTGATTAGTGCTTTTCTATAGCAGACGAGGGCAAGATCAAAATGACTGTCTCCAGTATTACAATCTCCAGCTCATTGCGTTGTGGCCCTACTCTCATCTCATCTGCAATGTCTGCACACTTTCCTAAAAGATGATAGTCCAATATCATGACAAAACAACGTTCGAATCAACTCATAGCGAACCCCGTAGCGCAGAGCAGCATGGTTGGAACAAAACAATTTCGCTTCAACAAACAAACAACATCATCAGCCGCCACTAAACATAATCATAAGCTTCAATATGGGATATGGGATATGGCCTAGGATATATAAAATACACTCAAACCCCCCGTCCTCCAACCGACCGACCGACCGACCCACACCACAAGTCTCCACCACTCAACAAGTGCAAAAGACTAAACCCAACCCCCCCCACTCACCCAAATCATTCCACAGCCCCTCCACCTCATCAAACGCGCTCCGAACCTGCTTCCACCACAACCAACACAAACCCCAACCTCACCACCACATCCCCGCCCGCATATAAATCCTCCTCCAGACAACCAAGGAACAAACAACCTTCCTTCCCTCCTACCCCCCCCCCCGGGGCCCAGCTCAACCCCAAGACAGACACCGACCATTTCCTTACCCGCACTGCGACAAGCTGCACGGATCCCCCGCGCCACAATGCCGCAGGCGGCGGACTTACCGGGCCCGCTTGTACGGACGGGCCCATGCGGCGGGGTCGAAAGGAGGGCGTGGGCTGTGGTTTTGTTTTCGCTTTTAGCCGGATGTTGGGGGGGGGGGGGGTTGGGGTACGTACGGGGTCGTCGACGGGATGGCGATGGTGACGGAGAGTATGGGGGCGAGAGCGGTCGGGGGGGTGGAGGGAGAGGAGCTTCATGTTTTTGGTGGTGGTGGTGGTGGTGGTGGGGGTGGTGGGGGGGGGAGGTCGTTGGGAGAGTGACGCCTGTGTATCTTTGGTGCGAGGGGTTGGTTGGGAGGGTACAGAGAGTGAGTGCACTGGGTGAGTAGATTGGAGGATGGGGAGGGAAGGCCCACATCCAGGAGACAGAATGTTCCATATACCCTAGGCCTCGTGACAAGGCGGGAACGAGGGCATGACGATCAGATAGCGAGTAAAGAAGCTTTTGCTAAATTGGGGTCTCAGGATAAGAACCGTACTTAGCGTTGCGCGGTATTTACGCAGCGTTCGCTAGACCATTCGCCAGGCTTCTGTAGCGGTTTATCTGCACCGAATTCGGCACTTGGCACATGAATCCGGAGGGGCAGTGAAGTGCAGGCAAAGGAACAAGGCGGAGGATTGAGGAGATGGCGAAGTGTGGCTTCATGCGGAATTGGAGGGCAACGGCAAAGTCATCACGCTAATACTGTGTGCGCAGGGAATGCTCATAGCCATGTCGTTCGGCCTAATGCCAATACCTGCTAGTCACGGACCTCACTTTCTCCCAAGCCTCATCCAACGCTTTCACTACATCCTCAGGCAGTGGTTCTTTGTCGAGGTCCTTTAAGTTCTGCTCAATGTGCTTCGTACTACGCCAGAAATCAGCCGCTCTTTCCTCGGAGGCAATCTCGTCACCCTTTACTCACCTACTCGCCCCAATCAAAATCGCATCCGGATACTTCCTCCCCAGCTGCGAGTGGTGTGTCATCCACCTCAACGCCACCTCCGCCATCGTAAGCCCATGTTTGTCCGCCGCCGGCTTCACAATGTCGAGCGCTTCGAAGTATTCATCCTTGAAGTATTTCGCCCTGTACATCTTGCCCTGCCACTTCTCCGGATCGAATCTCGAGCCCTTCTCCACCTGCGCATCTTTCGAAAAGCCACCTGTAAAAAAGCCACCACCGAGTGGATTGTATGCGTAGTAGCCCATACCGTAATGGCGTAGACAAGGGAACAGCTCCGCTTCAACGGTGCGGTTGAGGGCGTTGTAGATGCCTTGGTAGACGGACGGTTTGACCCAGCCGTGTGCTTCGCATATCTCGCAGATCTGAGCTACTTCCCAGGCCATGTAGTTTGAGATAGCGAACTTGTCGAAGAGACCCTGCTTGTGTAGCTCATTGACTTCTCGCAGGGTGTCGATGTAAGGAGTCGTCCTATCCGGTCCGTGCAGGTACCACATATCGACCTTCTTCGCATTCAGCGCCTTGAGGGACCTCTGCAGATTCTCCCTCAAATGCTCTGGTCTGTGTGTCCATTGCTCTTTATCCATGCCTCGCCCAACAGTCGGGTAGAACTTGGTGTCCATCACAATGCCCCTCTCTTGCCAATTGAGCTTGCCCAGGTATTCTTCGGAGGAGCCACTACCGTAGTATCGCGATGTGTCAACTTCATTATGGCCGTAGGACTGAAAAATGTCGAGGATCTGCTTCGCTTCACCAAGGTCGCTAACCCGCGATTGCTCTACGCCGTTGCCAATGGTCATGGCGCCGAAGACGACATTGACCGCGGATTTCGGTTGAAGTGCCATGATGTGTGTATGCTACCAAAGGGGCGAGGACTGGTGATAAAGTTGAGTTGATTGCAGAGGCTGGAGCATGAGCAGCACTGTTGATATTTAATGAGACCTCTGGAAAAATCGGCACGGACTTAATTCGTACACGGACTTAAAGTAGAGTAGTGACGTACCTAGACCCGGCTAGTCTCAGTAATTCAGACTCACGGCTAGCCGGGGTACCTATAGCCAGCCCTACACTCGTGCCTCGCTTCGGGAATCAATTATATCGCAAGCTTATTACGGTATACCCCTCCCTTAGAGTCTAAGTAGAAAACCCTCGAATTGCTATATAAATTATTAATTTATATAGATTTATCGTAATAATTATTCTATTATCGAGAAATCGCGACTTTCTCTATTTTTCTAATTATTATTATATTATCTTTTAATATTAATTAAGAGATTAATAAATCTTTTAAGATTGTTAAATAAGTATATAAACTTTTTATTATAATTAAATAGCTCGTTATTATTATATAAACTTATTTAAATATATATTCTCCGCTAATAATTATAATATTTATCTTTAGTTAATTACTCTTCGATAATTAAATTCTAGATAATAGCGTATTATATTTAATATTATTAAAAGATTATATAATAAGTTAAATATAATAATTAGATTATAAATTTAATTATATTACTATCTAATAAAAATTAAGTATTAAAGTTATTTCTTCTATATATATATTTATTAACTTAAAAATATATTACTTAGAAGTTAAAGAAAGTATAAAATATATATTTTAAATAATTTTAACGCGCTTAATATATTTAAAATAAATTAAAGTAAATAAGAAGACTATAAGAGGCGCTTAGATACGCGATTTTCTCTTTAATAACGATAGCGAGATATTTTTAAATTATATATATTAATCTCTTTATAGCTTATAGAAATATTCTTTCTTTTAATAAATATAAAGTTTTAAGATATTTAGCGAATTAGTTCTAGAGAAAAGAAAAAAAGTTATATATTTAATATTCGAGTATAAAAGTAGAAAGAAGAATATTTTAATATTTATATATAATCTCAAATTATAAATAACGATATAGACTCTTCTTCGCTTATAAATAAATAAAATTTTAAATATTATATAAGCGCGAAAGAGTTAAGTAATTATAATAGTTTTAATAATAATTTATATATCGCTAATAATATTAATATTTAATATTTTATCTTTAATATAATAGTAGAAACTAGTTACGCTATAACTTATATTTTAAAATATATAATTAATATAGAGAGTAAGTAGTATTATATTCTAATTATTTTATAGAGTTAGTAATAGTAGATAAATCTTAATAAGATTAAAAATAGATTTAAAAAGAAATAGATATATATAATTCGCTATTTATTTAACGATAAAAACGCTATTCTAATAGCGAAAACGGGCTTTAAAAAGAGTTTTATTTTTTATTTTTTATCTTTATTAAAATCGAGTAATATAGTAATTCTTATATATTTATTTAATATATTAAAGTTAGATTAGTAATTAAAGATTAATATATTATCTAATATTAGCGTTTTTATTCTAAATACTTAGATTAATAAGAATAAAAATCTATATAATATCGCTAATAATATCTATATATATATTCTTATTAATCTCGAGATCTTTATAGATAATAAAAACTTTTATATAATTATTATAAAGAATATAAGATTTATCTTATAATTTAGTTTTATTATTATTAATAAGATATATATAATATAATAATAGAGCGATAGCTTTTATTTTAATTATAGTAAATTTTATAAAATAAAGATATTAACTCTTAATATATTATAATTTAAAATCTCGACTATATTAGATAATTAGATATTAAATATTTATTAACCGCGTATTAATTTCGCGAATAATACACTTATCGAGATTATAAAGACTTTTATTAATCGCGAGGATATTATATTTAGTATTAAGCCTCTATAATATAAATCGAGCTCGTTTAAAGATCTTTATTTTTTAATATAGTTATCGAATTATATATCTACTAAGATAATTTTATATATTAATTATATTATACTCGATTATAATATTATTAATTAATTAACTTAATAATATCTTAATATAGATTAGATAAAAAGAAAGGCGAAAAAACTTTTTTATACTTATAATAATAAAATAGATAAAGAGAAGTTAAAAACTATAGCTATTAAATTTAAGAGACTAAATTTAATAATTAGACTTTTTATTATTATAGACGCTTTTAATATAAGTATTAATAATCTTAATATATATTTTATTATATAGTAATTATTATCTAAAGATATTTATTCTCTTTTAAGTATATAATAGCGAGCTAGTTATATAGTTCGAGTATTAAATCTATATAATAACTTTATATAATTTATTAAGAATAATCTAATTAATTTATTATTTAAGAATTTAGCTATTTTTATAATAGAGGTAGAAAGAATATAAGCTAGAAAGTAAGTAGATATATTAAAAGAATAGTATATTATTCTTAATCGATCTTAGAGTAATTATATTCGAGAATTCTTTTTAAAGTATTTCGATAAGACTAAATCGATTATAGCGATCTATACTATCGAATACTATAATTATTATAAAAAAATTATATTTATAAAAATCTTAAATATATAATTTAAAGATTTAATAAGTGTAAAAAACTATATATTAAATACGAGGATAATTAATATATATAAGAGATTACTTAAATAGAGTTAAGAGAAATAAAAATAAAAATATAATAAGATTAATATTACTAATATTATCGAGTCGAATATCTTTCTAAATACGAATATCGTATAAAAATAGACTAAATAAATCGATATTATTATTATTATTAACGATTTCTTAATATTAATAATAAAATAAGATTTATATTAAATAAATAAATATAAATTTAAGCTTTATTCTTTTATTAGATATTAATTTAAGAGAATAATTATAATTAATAAGAGGCTAAATATTAAGTAGATAAAGAAGAAAAAGTAGATTAAGATTAATAAGAGAAAGATAGAAGTCTTAATAGTTAAAGAAGTAATTAAGTAAGTAAAGATTTATATAATAAATGAGATAAAAGAGATAAAGATAAGAGATATAAAAATTATAGTGAAAATAAATAGATAAAAGACTATGAAAATAAAAGTATAAGAGAATAGGGCTAAAGAGGTTAACTTAGTTATAAAAACTATAATAACGCTTTATAAGTTAAAGAGTTCTAATATTAAAATTATATTTAATATAAAGAAATAGAAGTAAATAGATAGTAGATCTTTATTAGTCGATATATTAATAATAATAAATAAATAGAGAGTTAATATAAAGGTAGATAGAGATAATATATATAAATAATTTTAGAAGTTAGATAAATGGCTAGTTAAAGAAATAATATAGTCTAATATACTTTTTTTAATATATCTCTAAGAGTATCTTTCTTTAATAACGATAGCGATAACGATATTATACTCTAAATATCTTACTAATATATCGTTAATAGTATATATTTATAAATATTAGAGATTTTAATAATAAAGAGAATTAATAAAGAAATAATTAAATAGTAGTAATATAGTTAATTAGTGTAATTATAAGACTAAAAAGAAGTTAAATTTAAAGTCGACGAAGAATTAAATAAAGCCCTCTAATTAGTTAAGGCCTTTCGATCTATAAATATAAAAATCTTATTTCGATATTAAATAACTTAATATAAGATATATAGTAATTTTCTTTATAATAATATTATATAGTTAAATTTAATAGATCTATTAATAGCGATAGCGAGATTCGCTAATAGCGTTATATAGCTTCGAATGTAGTTATAATATAGAATAATTAACTATACACGCTTAAAGTACTTAATTTAAGATTATTATTAAGTATTAATATTCTAAGTAATCGAATAATAGATATTAAAAAATAAGGTTTTCGAAGTTAAATTCGAGTATTTATAGTAAGTCTTTAAACCTCTAAAGAGGTCTCGAAAAGTATTTATTCGCTATTTATCTATTATATTCTTATAGAAATCTTATATATCGTTAATCTTATTTATAGTTATATCGTCTAATTCTTAATTTAACTATCTTCTTTTTTTTAATAAGATTTTATTCTTAAGAGAATTATTAGATAACTATTTATTATACTTATTAACGACCTTATTTATCTTACTCGTCTCGTTAAAAAGTAGATATAAAGCTAATTTAATATATAATCGATTAGAATTTTATTATATAGAGCTCTCTTATAATATATTAGCGTATTTATATAAGTCTTTTACGAAATACTTAATTAAGTAATAATTATTCTAATAGATATTAAGTAATAAGTAAAAGGCCTTCTTAATATTCTTAAAAAATCGAGTATTAAGAGAAATATATTTAAAGAGATAATTAAAGTTAAATATAGAATTATATCGCTTCTAAAATATAATTTTTATTTCGCTATTAAGATACTCGTCGAATAAATTAATCTCTTTTTACTTATCTAGTTAACTAGTAATATTAATAAGAAAGTTAAAAAGAATAGTTTAGGCTAGCTTACTATTAATAGCACTATCTTCGCTATTAAAATTAATATAATATTTTTATTAGAGTATTAATTTCGCGTAATTATAGAAATTAGATTTATAAAAATATAGATATATTTAATTTAAAGTATAAAAAATTAAGTTAATATTATTTTACTTAATTCTATACTTTAAAATAAGATAGAGCTTTATACTTTATAAGAACTTCATATAATTTTAATAAGTAGTATTCTCTTTATTCTCGAGTACTCTAATAAATAAATCGTTTCGTATAGAAATTATAATTTTATTTATCTTCTTAACTATATAAATAGCGAGCTATTCCTCTATTATAGTATAACTCTATTTATTATTATAAGATAAGATATATACTTAAAGTGCTATAATTATATAGACCTAAAACGAGTATATAAGAAACTTATTAAATATCTAAAAATTATTCTTTTTAGATAACTCTATATTCTTATAACTTTAGAAATCTTATATATATCGTAAATATAAGAAATTATTAAATATATATATATTCTTTAATTTTTAATTATATTTATTACTCGCTATTATTTTCGAGCTAAAGTTAATATTATTAACCTTTTCTAGATTAGATAATAGAGTACTCGTCTAATACGCCTTATAAATAATTATAAGATAGATTATTTTAATATAAAATAAGGTCGATATAGATATTAACTAAGTTATTTAATTATAATTAGAAATCTCTTACTTTATATAACGTCGTTTAATATCTTATAGATAAGAGAATATAAGTTAATTATCGTATATAAGATATAGATTAATATCTTAATAAAAATTATCTTATTCGAGTTCGATTTATTTAAAATAAATATTTTTAAGTATCTTAATATTATCTTTTATAATACTCTTATTAATATTAATAGAATTAAGTAAGTAATTAATAATTTCTTATAGAGTTAGTCTATTAATATAAGATATAGAACTAACTAGCGATAATTAATCTTTATATAACTATTTCTATTATATAAAAAAAGCGTTATAAATAACGATATTTATAAGATAATCGATATATTAACGCTATTAGCCTATGACTTTTTTATTATTATAAATCGTTAAAGAGATTAATCTATTTTTTAATAAACTTCGTTCTTACGTAGTCTAGATATCTTTAATATATAGAGTATATATAGAGACTTAAAATAGTTTATTATTAAGGCTTTAAGTCTATAGAAAGATATATTATCTTCTTAAATTATATAATCGATAATTATTAATTTTAGCTTTCTATTACTATTTATTCTCTATTTCTTAACTCTCTATATTTATTTTAGATTATTATATTAAATATAATAGTTATTAAAAAGATTAATATATTTAATTACTTTACTATTTAAATCGCTATTTTTCTTAATATATTATAGAATTTCTTCGTAGAGAATAATTAGTCTAAGTTAATTATAAAGCTTAAAAACTAATTATTTGACTTCACGCGAATATATAAGAATATCTAATTAAATAGAAATCGAATTAGTCTTAATCTTCTACTATTAAAAATATATAATACTGAAAATTATTATAATGAGACTAAGTTAAGATCGTAGAGATTTTTTATTCTTCTTTATATACTAGAACTATATTATAATCGATAAAAATCGATTAATATGTAATACTTTCTTTTTAATAGCCTCTAATAGCCCTTTTAATTTTATATTATAGAGCCTCTTTAAGTTAATATTCTTATTTTATCTCTTAAAAAAATCTAAGTTATTAATAGCGAGAATCTCTCTCTATAATAATTTTAAAATCTACTTTATTCTTTCTAGCGAGGCCTTCTAATAATTTAATAAAATATATTCGATAAACTTATTAGTTAAATTATTCTTTAATATAGTATTAAATAAAAGATTAGCTTTAATATAAAGTTTTATAAAAAAGTTATATTATAGAAATCTACTTTATATAAATTTTTTTTAATAATAGTCTTATATATTTTTTATTAAGTTGTAAAGACTTAATTCTAACTCTTTTATTATATTTATTATATTCTAAATCTTTCTAATCTTTATCTTTCTTATCTTTCTCTTTTTAATTATATTAGTTATCTTCGATAGAGTATTACTTCTATTTCTCTCTTTAGAGCGAGGCGTAAATATAAAGAGTTAGGAGATTATTGGCGAATATCTAGTAATAGATAAAGTAGACTTTATAGCGATAATAGATAGATTAGATATTAATTAATAATATAGAAAATAATTGAAGGTAAGATCTACTTAATAAGATTTAGAGATTTTTATTAAGATCTTATTAAGATCTCTTCTTAATAAGATCTCTTTTATATTTAAATTAATTATTCTTTATTAATTTATCTTTTTATTTTATTAGTCTTCTAACTAGTTATAATTTTCTTTCTCTTCTTATTTAATATTATTTAAATTAGAGTTATTATATATAATAGATCTATTATACTCTATTTTATTATATTACTCTTCTAAATAAGTCTTATATATAAAGATTTATTAATAAATTATTTAATAACGTATTTCTAATATAGTCTAGTTATTTAATATATTATATATAGAGAATATAATTATAAAGCTCTATCGTTATTTTAATTTTTTTTATATAATCTTATATAAAAAGATTTTATTAAAAATTCTTAAAGTAAAAAGAAATATTACTTAATTTTTAATCTCTTTTAATAAGAAATATATTAATTACTAATAGATCTAAAGTTTAATATTTTTTATTATTTTCTTAAAATTATAGCGTTAAGATAATTAAGTAATATTTAATTAAATCGTTTATAATAATAATATAAATCTTTCTATATTTAAAGATATTTTTTTCTATATTCTATATATCTATAAAAGACTTCGATATTATATAAAATATTTTTATTTATTAATATTATCGTTATTAATATCTAACTTTATATTAAAAGAATAAATTATCTCCGCTTCGCTCTCCGCTCTACTCTTCGTAAGTTTAATCGTTTATTTATTTATATATATCGCCGCGGCGATACTCTACTTACTTACTTACTTACTTACTTACTTACTTACTTACTTACTTACTTACTTACTTATTTACTTACTTACTTACTTATAAGATTACCGCGATAATAAGTTATCGCGGCGATACTCTACTTACTTACTTACTTACTTACTTATTTATTTATATCTATTATTATAACGACTTATTATCGCGACGACTCTTATAAGTCTAATTATCTAAAAAATAGAGAGGAGATTATAAAAAATAAAGGAAGATTACGATATTTAATTAAAGTAATAAACTAATTAATAAGATTACGTATTTTCTCTAATACGCTATATTATCGATTCGGCGAGTACTATAATAATTACTCTAAAAATTAAACTATAAGAGAATTTCTATATAGTACTACGCGTTTATTAAGATATATAACATTTTTAAGTATTAGTACTACTACTATAGCTAAGTTAACTAAGTTTTTTAGTAAAATAGAATTAAAAGCTTATTTTTTAATTACTATATTATAGCTTCTAATTTAATAAGAGCTTATTTAACTATTTATTCAACTTTTTTTAAGAATTTCAAAAAAGGCTATATTACGTAGTTGCGTATTTTTGTTAAGGATCATATATACGCAGGGTGTGAATTTTATATATCGGGCGATACACCAAAAAATTAAGTCTTGGCAGGGTTTCCCACTCAGACCCACCTCAAGGCCGGTGGGGCCAAGCTGAGACTAATACCCGGCAACCCTTGAAGGACACAGCCGAGAAACAAGCTGTTCGATGAGAGTGTTGGGTTGAACCGATGGGTGAGGATGTATCCTTGTGGTACTCTCAAATGCATTGCGCATAAGTAGCTTAGGTCAGTAAAGGGTTGAGTTGTATGGTTGGTGAATAATCCTTGCAACTGGCCACGAGGGGCAGGTGGCGGTGCGTCTCCCATGGAGGGCGTCTCGGGCGTCAGGCGTCAGCCTTGCCTTCAAATAACTGGTTTCTGGTAACGGTCAGCAGCTTCGCTTTGTTATGTTTCTTCATATAAGACTTGGAAGATGTCAAAGAAGATCGTGCGAAGATTGTGCGGGAGCTTCAAGGCTGTGCGGGCATTCTCCAGATGATCGCAGTCGCAGTCAAGCGAGACGCGAAGAGCCTTCCCAATCTGGCCTCCTTGGTGGTGCCCAATGGACCACTGGATCAGTACAAGAAGGAAATCGAGGAAATGTTCCCAAAGCTGACAGCCACACATGGGATATCTGACATTGCGAAGAGGTTCAACTTCACTGCCAGCAAGAAGGACATTCAAGACATCTTGTCTATTTGGGAGCACTACAAGACTACGTGTATGATTTGTATGAACTTTGACCAAGCGTATGTAAAATTATCCGGTTATTATCTGTTGCGTCGATGCTGTTGAGTCAGCTGCTATTGAGCCTCAATAAGATGCCAGAATCGATCTCCAGCCCTCCTGTGCCCCGAACATATCACCAGTCAAGGCCTTTGGTTACTTTCCCTTCAGATGCCAGAAGCTTCGTTGGTAGAGCGAAGCTCCTCAAGGCGCTCACGGAAGGATTAGGAGAATGTAGCCGTATGGCACTGTATGTATGGTCTGGGTGGGGTCGGGTGAGGGATCTTCCTTCTGAGCATTCTGATTTTGTCAACTATCTGACGGGTGTGTCAGATGATGAGTTAGAGTCCGACAAAGATATCGGAATACTGGTCCAGTATTCTCTAATTAGCAGGAATGAGAATCTTGTCTCATACAGTACGCACCGACTTGTTCAGCTCACAAGTCGAATCTGGCTTTCGGGACAGGGTGCGTCAGGCAACTGGAAGGCTGAGGCGCTCATGGCAGTATTATATGCTTTCACAGCGACACTCTCCGTGGACGAGGAGAATCTGATCTGGAAATGGCCAGAAAGTTGTCTCCCCACTTCGATGTCGTCTCACAGTATAAGTTCGAGGCGAAAGTGGACATTGATCGTCGAATGGAAGTATCAGAGATGAAGATGATTGTTTCCCCCATGCTCGTAGGAAAACATTCTGAGGTATTCCCACTCTCTAATACTGCTATAGTAAAGATGCGGTAGCGCTGAAACTTAGATATAGCAAATAAGCATCTGCCAATACCCTCAAGTACTTTCGAGATCAGGAGTTCTACATCTCACTGCCCAGTGTTCCTCGTGAAAGCGCACAAACTTTAACGTATTGCCGCTGGGAGGGGATAAGAAGTGCAACAGAGGATGACACCGGTTCAAACCGCTTATTATTACTCCACGTTGAGATGGTCGTGTGGAAAGCCTTCACCCGATGAGCGAATTCTGGAAGTTTTCCGGAGCTTTTGCTCACTGTGCTACCCTTGAAAGTGGGCACCTCATCTTGCGATCTTTCTTTGGGTATGTTAAGGCTAACAGTAGAAGGGGTAGAGGTTACGAAGGGTTGATGTTATCTATTGATATGTCTAGATGCCCTACTATCTTAGCGCTTGATGTTCCTTTCTCTAGCCATCGCAGACCACCAAAGCATCCTAACATACTACCGATATCTCATCCTCTGTCATGGCCTGACCGTTCATCCTCGTCAGAGCTCTCACTCTTACTATATTTCATTTAGCAATCATCCACACTCTCGCTCTCTTCCAAAGTCCGGCAATCAACTCACGTTGCATTCACAAAGAGCATAGTAGTAGCCTCCGTTTGAGAACGGTGTCTGGCACGAGTGGCAGCCGCTGGCTGCGCACTCCGAAGCAGCGGCCGCCGAGGTGGTGGCTCGATAAGATCCTCCGTTGCACCCTGCGGGCTCTGGTACGGCCTCGCGAGGTCTACAAATGTCAGTCCATGGCGTCGGAGAGAACGAAAATGCTCAAAAGTAAGTGAGAGTAGGTAGTGCAGGCTACGCTTTCGCTGGAGGGAAGAAGAAGATGGAAGACAAACATGTTCAATGCATTGGAGCCGACGATGAAGACGGAGGCAAGCACGAGAAGAGCGCTTGGGAATTGCATGTTTGGAAGATGGTTGGTTCGGTTCTTGCTTTTGGGAAGACTTGAAGACTGATGATGGGATACTTAGAGCATTGACAGGTGCGAAGTTGTTTCCTTCTTATACTCGTGCCCGATCAGGTCTCTGGCGTCAGGCCAGCCATACTGCGGAGGAAAAATGGACGAATCGGACGGAAACGCTGTTGGACATGGGTCTGAAATGGAGTTTGTATCCTTCACCGGGGGTACTGATAAGGCCTGACCAGCTCGTACACGTAACTCAGCCTCAGCTGGGTGAAATAAGATGTCAATTCGCGCAGTCACTCAAACACGATATCGCCAGAAGAGGCCAACAAGGCCAGCGTCAAATATAGCAAAGCCCACGTGATTTGCCCGGTTAGATCTGTGGCTTACGCGTAGCTATAGCGTTGAACGAGTAAGCTGCTTGGTAAGAATGGTAAGTATTTCGCGAGGTGAACAATTACCTGACTGGGATTGCAAGTAGATGCGCAGCAGATAATCTTGGCAGTGAGATTCTTCACCAACTCTCTATTCGATTCCAAGCGCTCTATGACGAGCAACGGCTGAAACCAAATCGTGGTGATCGTGCGTGAACAGGCAGATGAAGATGCGTCTCCACGTTTCCTCGGATCCCAGCGGTGTCAAAGCTGGCCTATCAGAGCTCCAAACATCTTGACAAAGCTGTCAAACCTGAAGACTTTGGCCGTTGAAACCGGCCCCGGGTCCAACCTTGCGCTGGTGTCGTGGGGGCATCCCGTGCACTGCCCCTGTTGGTTTCTGTTGGTGGCGCCCTTCTTCTGCCAAGCTTTCAAATGCACTATTGAATATGCAGTCAGACGGGCCGCTGTCAATAGAGTTTCTCCGCGAAGGAAACAGAAAGAGGGATTCAACCGCATCCCATGGGGTCAAATCTCCGCAAACTCTTCGCGATTTCCCATCGAGAAACGTGACCAGGCACTGTTGCTTAAGACTTCCACGACTATCTGTTTGGTTCCACTAGCTGGTGCACATAAAATGCTCGTTGAGCAGAGGAACAACGGTGAAGGTCAATAAGTTCCGAAAAGAATGCTTACGAGATACTAGCGGACGACTCCTTTGGTGGCAAACGTACCAGGGTGGCTGCCAAAGCTTGCTATACCCGAAATCTTTGGATTTCTGACCAAATAAGCACCAGAGTTGGCCGATGCGGTCAGAGGAAAAAAAATTCGCCTCGCACCTCTACAAGGATGTAAGCTATCCTTAAATCTGACCTGAGCCGAGCTGGATTGTTGTTCTCTTGCTAAGCCTCATAACCTTTCCACCAAGTAAGCGGGTCAGCAATAGTATCAACAGAAATGTGGAGAAACAGACGGTAACAAGACTAGACCAGTAAGAACGCAAGAGAGCGACGAAAATCTGACGTCGGGAAAGCAAACCGAAACCAACAAGTTCTGAAATGAGGTGCAAAGATTTTCCATTAAGAGAACAGCAGACAATGCGCAGTTTCGCATTGCTCAAGCCTGAGACCCACAGTATCAACCACCTTTACACGATTTGTGTTTTCTGACTTCCCAAGCTATCTCTAAGCACACCACATCTTCTCCCACTCCTGATCCAATCTCATAACTTCCTTCTTCATTTCCCGCTTCGTCCTTGCCCTCAACGACTCAATTTGCGTCGGCGTATATCCGTTCTTCCTCGCTTTGTTCGCGAAAGCTTCCCCCCGCGTCTCCCATTTCTTCTTAATCTCTACATACCTCTCATTGTAGCAATGAGTGCAAGATTCAGGACCGGTACGTTCAATATCGACCACAACTTTCTTTCCGCTGCAACCGTGCTGGAGGACGTCTGGGTTGAGGGCGCTGGGTTTCTTGGGAGTTGGGGTCTCGGTGATCGAATTGCACCCGGAACAAATGGACTGGTTGACGAAACACATGACTGCTGACGACTGAGGTTCTTACGGGTAACTTTGATGCTGAGGGTTAAAAGAGATGTTGTGATGTGAACTTTGCTGCGGAGCTGATGAGTTGGAACGCAGGGAGCCCAATGGATATTTATGCAAGAGATCGCAGGTGATGACAACAATAAACTGAAAGTACAAGGGAAACCGAACAACCAGGGATCGAGGAAGGTACAGTGCGGGTCAAAGGAATTTCACGATGGGTTTGTGCCGAGGGAGAAGGGCAAGGTCAAAGGGCCTTGTGGTCATATCTTAGAACAATGGACGAGACTAACAAAGCAGTGTTCAAGAGCCGCGTACGACGTTTTTCGCTACGAACATCAGGGAAGCTCGCAAAGGATCAACTACGCAATGGTCCCCCTTTTCTTCTGAGCTCTGTGGTAAGGGTAAGGCGGCAACAGCGCCACGCGCGCTAATGTTCACGACCTTCGCTCATAGTCACGGGTATCCTTCTGGGAGCCCCGGGCGCTCATCGCAAGTTCCATTTACCGAGCCCCACTAACCTTTTAACAGTCACAGCTCAAGGCCGATCGTGGTATCTCTCGATCCAGTCTATCTCAAGTGTATAGCTAGTAGCAGGGTATTTGATAGGTGTGAATACTCGCCACGAGATGAAAGCTGGACTCGGCAAGGTTCTTGGATCACTAAACAGGGACTGTGAGATCTGATAGATCTAATGCAGTTCGACCGTGAACATCTCAAGTACGCTTTTTCGGAAGACAACCCAGGTCAAGGCTATCTTAAATGGGCACTATATCAACAGTCCGCCAAAGCCGAATACTGACCCGATCTTGGAGGTAGGCCCAACTCTGGGATCTTGATTCAAGTTTAATAACGCGCTGGCAAGGCACAGTTTTGATGTGCTCATCGCACCAGGGTGGTTAAGAAGAGCGTATACGCTGCATGGGCTAGTATAAGATTCTCCGGTTTCGAGAAAAGACATTCCGGAGAATTAAAAAATGGCCATGAGCGCCCACCGTGACTGTCCCTTTGGGCGCGTATAGTAATGAGAGGACGTATGAAATAGGCTTGTGTGGCGAAGAGATTCGAGGACCAGAAACTATCAAGATCATAGCGCTTTGTGAGAGAACCTCTCCACCCAACCTAATACCGGAAAGGAATAGGACAGACGAAGCTATAGATGAATGGACGAGCTGCGTTGATGAATGATTGTATACATAATTTTCCACCTCATTCGCTCCTCGACGTGTACCTTTCTACCCGATGCATGAAACCCTGCGCTTCTTTCGCTCCCAATTTGTCAACCCGGAGCTCGCAGATGAAGGGATCGTACACCCAACGAGCCAACAACAAGCACCTGATGCTCATACCCTCTCGTCAAACCGGAGTAAGAGCACCCTGATCAAAAGGGGTAGTTGGGAGAGAAGCATCTCAATCCAAACACCACACTAATCTATCACCGGCAAAACAGACATCCTGCAGCTATCATACCAGCCAAACTACCTTCCACCTCTCCCCTTCTTCCAACACCTCCTCATCAATGATGCTTACCCGCCTTAACCCTGTGGATCCTGCTCGGCTTAACATGATTCCCGCTCGTCGTGACGAGAATAATGACAACGAGGATAATCACCGTCAACATAAGCAAGCCCGAGAAAACGCGCGTGCGGACGGAGTTTTCGTTGGGACCGTTGGTCTGTGGTCCGGGGTTCGGAGCACTCAAGCCCGCTTGCTGTTCGACGTCGTTGGGGTTCGGAGTGCGAGGCGGTCCGGGTTGGTAGGTTGGTTGTGGGATGTTGAGCCATGGTGCGTCCATGTTTGGGATTGAGAAAGTGCGGGGGTGGGTTGTGGAGATGGGGATGGGGTCGTGATGGGCTGGGTTGGTTTGTTTTGGTTCGTATGAGGTGTATAGCTTATTCCGTTCAAACAGATTCTTCCTAAGCAAAGTGCAGGAAGCGAACAGATATAAGACAACACAGACGCTGGCGCTTGAGACACCAACATGTACATGTATAAAACTGTTTGTTGTGGTACCTTTTCTTGTTTTCCGAAACGGCGCAAGAAAGAAAATCGCAGAGGCACAAAGGAAAGGTTGCCGAATTTAGTAGCGATCTTGTCATACTCAAAGGGCCATTCATGTCTCTTAGGACGTGAGACAAAGCCTAGAAGGCGAGAAGAAAGAATGCCGACCATGAAAGAACAAACGCGGGATCCAGGTCTAGCAACCCTCTAATTTTCCTTTCCCGCACATAGCTGTCCCAAAGCCAGCTCCCGCACTCACAGCTTCATCCCCCAAATTTAACGAAAGCGGCTGCTGGGTAGTGGAAGCCTCCCGCACAGGTCGAACAGAGGCCCGGCTTCGAGAATGGCAACGACAGCTGAATCAGCTAGTACAATGCTTTTGTCGAGTGCGCGACGGATGACATAGTGTACAATTATTGGGCATCAATATGCCAAAGGCAGACGTGGAGTACGTTGACAAGAGGGCACTTTTGAATTCTAGCCGGTGCTTTGACTTGTGAGATGGAAGCTGACAAATTCACGAATGTCGTTTGGGAAGTCCAAATACGTCAGAGATGAGAAAGGGTGAATCGAAAGAGGAGTTGCTGTGTACGGGTCGTAAGAAAGAGCGCAGAGGTGGGGTCTATGTGGACCGTAAGAAGAGGGGCAATTTGCCCTGTCCTAAAGTGTGAGGGAAGCCATGGATGGACGGATGATAAAGGCCCATGAGGGGTTGGATATGTGCTAGGCTCGTTATGGTGTCCAGCGTTTTTTAGATTATGTACAAGCTCATAACATAAGAGAATAGCACATAGGGAGAGCCATTGGGATCTCACAAGCAAAATGTGACGGGAAGTCAGAGATGCAAACCCGGCTGTCAATCCTGGTATATCTCGGAGATACATATTTATACGCAATCAAAGGTCTGTTTTCCCGTGTTCCCATCAGCGTGTCCTCGTCATCTAGCCGTTTTAAAT